TGTTCCGCTGACACAGCCTCCCCATGCATGTCACTCCCTTCTTACACCTCTGCCCAAGGCTTATCATTCATGTAATATTTATTTGAAGTTAATTTATTCTAAACAGAATAAAGTGACATATCTAAAAGAAATAATTTGAAGGCCTCTTTTAACAGTTTTTTCATTTTAATAGATTAACATACAATTTTAATGTAAATAACCTCATTGTTTTTAAAAAGTATTTTTTTTTAAAGATTTATTTATTTATTTAAGAGAGAGAGCCTGCACATCCTGGGCAGAGGGGGAGAGAGAGAGAGTGTGTTAAGCATACTCTGTACTGAGCGAGTGTGGAGCCCCACACGGGCTCCATATCACGACCTTAAGATTACGACTTGAACCGAAAACCAAGAATCGAATGATTAACAGACTGCACCTCCCAGGGACCTCTTAAAACGTGGTTTTTACTACTTTTCTGGGAGTTGGAGTAGGGTGCTCTGTGCAGTTTATTTCATGATGTATGCTGGGTTTGCATTTGAATATTGAAACATACACAATTATAGAGTGTTGGCGAAGTATGAAATGCTATATTTTGTTTTATTAGAAGGACCATTGCATTTACTTCATCTATTTTTTCTTAGTGTTTGGAACAAAAGGAAGCACATCTAGAGTAGGATTCTTTTTTTATCTCTTTTTAAAAAGAACATTAATTTATTTTAAAATTCTACGATTATTGGGACACTGTAGAAATACCAGGAAGTATGAATGAGGTAAAAGGAGACTACACATCTGTGATCATCTCACCTCTGTTTTCACGTCTTATGAACACATGCGTGTTTTGGCAACGTTTCTAATCACTTATGTTTTGATGATGACTTAGAGGAGATTTCATTTCATTCAGTTAACTCCAGTTCTTCCTTCTAAGGGTATTTCGCTCAAGAGACCTATTTTAATTTCTGTAGTACTACAAGCCTTCTAGGGCTTTTGGACATATATCCTCCTAGTTTCTTGATCACTTATGTCTTTGTATCAGATATTATCTGGAGAAAAAGAGAAATTGATCCTGAGGATGAGATTTTCAGAAATTAGTTTATAGGTGAGATGACCTGTTCAACCTAAGCACAACAGCGGGCTGGCATGAGAGGGGTTGCTAGACTTCTATGGACTCTCCAGTTGATTCTTTTTCCTGTCCAACAAGTGTGTCCTTCAGGATATAAATAATGGAGTAATTCTTTGGTACCGATCTCCCGTCATTGATATTACTTACCACTATGCAACTTGAGGGATTTTAATACCTAATTGAAAGAGCAGAACTCATTGATAGCTTTGGAAATATTTGGTCCATTTTCAAAGGTTGACCTTGTTCTCATGTAGTATGAATTGCTATTTGAAGACATATTTTTGACAAGTACAAAAAGTTGATATAAATAAATCTTGTAGGCTAATGAAAAACAGTGGCTTTTAAACTATCTCTGCCTTTCCTCTTTGAAGACCAGTAACAGCTATCACGATTTACCTAAAAATATTAATTATCAGACACAAATACGGTCTTAAGGCCTCATGTAAAGGCTGATAGGTGGTTCTTTTGCAGCTAAAAGCATGTTTCTCTTGCTTTTTAATTTCATCCCTTCACTCTCAACTCTTCACTTTGCTTCTAGCCCCACTCCCTGAGCAAATCAGAGCCAATGAACTGATACAAGATTGTTCAAGTTCCTTATTTTTTTATCTCCAAATTTCCCTGTAGTATTTTCACCAGTTTTCTTTTTCCCCTGTGTTTAAGTAGAAAGTTGTCCCTTTCTTTCCAAGTTAATCCAAACAAGCAGCCATGGTTTCCTACCTCCATCATCAGTTATCTACCCCCCAATCTGGATTTCCTTCATGGAGATTCCTTTATTTGAAACATATCTTTGGCACAAGAGTTTGCCATTGGTTATCCTAATATATCTTTCCTCTCCCACCTATCAAGCTTCATGCCCAACTAGTAAGTGTGGGTTACTTCCATTTCACCATCTACTCTTTCTACAACTCTGTTTCCGGCTTTCTGCCCCTACTACTCTAGAGAAACTTCTCTTTTGAGGTTCGTTTTTTTTTTTTAATACACAAGTCAGAGAGACAACATCCATTGTGATTTTTTACTGCATTTGACACTGTCGATGGCCCCCATTGTTACATATCCCCTTTCTGACTTCCATGACCTTCACTTGTCCATTCATCTTATTAATTATGGAGACATTTGTGCATCATTTGATGGCTTATTTATCTCTTTCATATCTCTGCTCTGTTGGTTCTCCCATCCTTCCCAAAGAGAATATATTACTCTTATCCCTAACGGTATATATTAAGTACCTAATTAGTGCCATCTAAGGAGAATATAAATGTGAATAAAACAGACGTATGGGTTCTCCCTCACAAAACTGACTGTGTAGCAGGGACAACAGACATTAAAGAAATAGCTCGAAAATGAGTGGATTACACTGTGGCAAGTGCTCCAAAGGCTCTCCTCCCCTCCCTACTCCTCCTGTGCTGAGGGCTTTCACTCAACTGAGGTGACAGTGAGGGACCTGATGCTGTAATTGTGCACAGCACTTACACGCGTGAGGGGCAGCCTGTTGAGAGTACTTTAGGTGGCTGGGGGAGCAACAGCAAAGGAAGGAAGTACTCCAGCATCTTGAGGAAATGTTGAGTAATGCAGTACAATGTGGATCTGGGGTGCATGCGAGTGAGAAGTGGAACTGTAGAAATTGAGTGGACCGCAGCAGGTTCTGTGTCTGATCCTCTGCCAAGCGTTTTATATACTTTGTCTCCGTTATTCTGACAAAAATCTCAAAAGGAAGGTGGTATTAGCCCATTTTTCAGGGGAAGAATCTGAGGCCCAGAAAGGCTCATTAGGTCAGAAAGACTCAAAGGACCATGGAGTCAGCAAATGGCGCTACCTGAATTGAGTCACATCTTGCTCTTACCCTGAGCGTGGGCTGTTAATGGTACAGGTGGAGCCATCGTATCTCTGTGTGTGTGACGAGCTCTGCAAACGCTACTTTTATGACCCTGAATCTGTGCTCCTTGAGGACAGGGACCATTCATCCTTGTATTTTCTCAGGCTTCCTAGCATCTTGTCTTCCCCCAAGTAGATACTCTAACAGGAGGTGTTCAGTAACTTTGCTGACATCTTTCCATCACTCGTCACACAGAAGTTTACATTAGAACTATTTGCCAGGTACCTTAACTGAAAAAAATTGCCAGGGCACATGACTGGTACTGCCTGAGGTTGGTTGGTTGGTTTTCAGATTTTACTTATTTATCTGAGAGGGAAAGAGAGAGAGAGAGGGAACATACCAGCGGGGGGCGGGGGGAAGGGCAGAGGGAGAGACAGAAGCAGGCTCCCCGCTGAGCAGGGAGCCTGATGCAGGGCTCCATCCCAGGACCCTGAGATCATGACCTGAGCCGAAGGCAGACGCTTAACCGACTGAGCCACCCAGGTGCCCCCTGCCTAAGTTTTGTACAGTTTTCTCAGTGTGCTCCTGTTCCCTTCCAGGGCTCATATGTATACATCCCACTAGACAAAAAAGAAATATATCAGTAATTGTCTATAATGGCAACAAAAATTGGAGATTAATAAGCTGCTCAGATCATGCAGGTGTGCAACAAAATGTAGGAATCACTACCTGTGTTGACTTTATCCTATGATTAGGTCTTGTCTTTTAAAACCTTGGAGGAGATTTGGATATTCAGAATACAGAGTAACTACAACTTCTAGAAGAGACCTGCTCCTAGCTTTTTTTTTTTCTTAAGAGGCAAATTTGAACACCTGAAACATTACTAATTACTTCTGCACAGGGTAGCAAGTTGGATTGTCAGCGTATACAAATGCATATTTTTGGGAGAGTATAATAAAAAAGGAATCAGTGCAAAGAAAAGTGGTGACCTGAATGCAAGTATGTGAGAAAGACCCAATGATGGAAAGTGGCAGAAGCTGAGAGAGAAAACAGGCTCTTATTTCAAGAGTATAAAAGCAAAATGCAACTGTGTGCAGAGTTTTTGTTTTGTTTTGTTTTTTAAATAAGTCAAATTAAGCATGGAATTCTCCAAGTCTCAAGGCTTTTGCCCTTTTTTGTAGCCATTATGAACATAGTACAGTCAGTCTTCCCTGGGAGATAGTCTTTGCTCATGCAAGCTCTTTAGAATTAGTTACTGTTAGGAAGGGTAAGTGCCTATCATGGGCAAACATATACAAAAAGCTAAGGAAAGGGGATGTACTGAGGCATAGAGCTTGGAATTTTACTAAGAAAATGGAAGAGTGTAGAATTTGTTTAGCGGTATGTGTGTGTTTTTCTTATGCTGTCACTAAGTATTTTCTTTTCCCTTGTGGGAAAAATAGTGCTTGAATTTACTGTGTCTGTGGAACACGGGTGGAGGTGGTCCAGTAGAGGAAGTTGATGTATAACATGTTTGCATTTCCAGCTATTTGCCTCACACCTAATGAGACCTGCCCTCTTTATTGTTTTGTCATTTGGAAATAAATATGCATACACCTCACACAGTCATGTTGGAAGCCAATGGAACATTTTTCTCTTCAAAGCACTTGAGGATCCTAGCAAGATCATTTTTTTAAAAAATTTAATATTTAATGATGCCATATATAGAAAACCAAGCTTGCTAAGAAATAACATTTTCCTTACGGAAGAAGTATGACTAGATAATATGTAATATGATGTGAAATTATTACCATGTCAAATTTTAAACAATGAAAAGTTTTCAAGAGTCAAAACTTACTCTGGAGGGTACGCCCACATCAAATGCTTCTATTAAGACTTCAGGTCAGTTGACACTTTTTTTTTTTACTTTAGCAAGTTCCAAACTGGAAAAACAAGGGTGTTGCCAGTGGAGGTTGAGGTGAATTGAAAGGTGGGTGGGATGCCACCAGCGCAAGCCAGCATGGAGATGCTGTGGTTAGTGCATTTCATGGATGTGAAATGCAACCCCACCCCTGCAAACAAGGGTTTCAAAATGTATTTTCTGTTTTTCAGGATGAATCTTCAAGTCATGAATGTAACCAGCGCACAATCCTTCTTTATGGAGTGGGCAAAGAGCGTGACGAAGCGAGGCATCAGTTGAAGAAGATTACCAAAGATATTTTGAAAATCCTAAATAAGAAGAGCACCACAGAGACGGGGGGTAAAGAACCTTAATGCATTTGCTCCCATTGTGCTGTCTTTTGCCCTTCCTCTTAGCACGGTCTTTATCAAAGTCATACATGACACTGTCACCAGAGTGTTTCCTCTCCTGAATGACTGTCATATTGAAATGTGAATAAGCATATTGAAATTTTAATGCCTTGGTTCTATTTATAGTAATCCTTATATTAAAATACCATGTTCTATAGATAGATATAGGTAATTTTAATTTTCTACTCTTTTGTTTTTATTCTTCCCAAATTTTCTACAGTAGGCATAAAGGAAGTACTGAAGAAGGAGTTGGAAAACCCTTAGTCTGGAAAAGTTCCATTTCTTCAATTCTTTACCATCCTTTTTTTAAGCTTGTAGTTTGCTCTGTGTACTCACATTTGCACAATAATTGAAAATCATGATAGTGTAGTTGCCGATCTTGTCTTTATTCAGAAGAATAATTGTAATATGTAGTGATGGCTACCCATAACACAAAATTATTTCGACTAAAAAAGAAAATTGGGTCTTTGTCCTATAATGCCTTCTTTACTTGGAATAGTCTTTTCCCGTGCTCTTGACATAGATTTTTTACAGTGAAGCTATGCCTTTATATTATGTCACCACATTGCATAATTGGAATTCTTTAATTATCCACTTCACATTTGCCTAATTACTCTTTTTAAGGGTTGTTTATTTATCAGCCAGTCATAAGATTTAAAATATGATATCGTTATATATACTTCACTACCATTACTGGTGTTTATTTCTTTATTGTGTAAATAATCAAAGAAAAAAAAGTTTGAATTTTCTCTATGCAAACAGTGTTCTTCCTACACATGGCATAAACCACTCTAGGAACCCTGCTTTGTTGGCCAGTACAAAATACATATGTTTTTATGAACCTCTTCACAGGGCCTCCAGTCTTTAGTCTTTAACCAGATGATTTACTTAGAGATTGCCCACACTAGATCTTTCCTAGAGAAAGTACAGAGAGAACTAATACAAATGGCTCTGTGTCCTCTCCATCAGTGGGGGAGCACATGCAGAAACAAGGTACAAGGGCAATATGCTTTTGAGTGTGAATGTGGTGTTGCAGGTGTCTGATGTCTGAGGCAGTTGTCTTTAGAACATAATGAAAGAGTTACTTCAGGTGATTTACAACAGTTCCCTGACTCCTCTCCCTTCCATGGCCACTGAAGGACCTTGTACCACACTGGCCCCGTGAGGGAACAACCAAGAGTTGTGGATGGGAAATGAAACCTTGTTGTTGTTGGCCTGTCAGTCTTGAGCTTGGTTTAAAAAAAAAACAAATCAAAAACCCAGAAACAAAGAAACCTGCTCTAAGAAAAACTGTTGATCCTCTTGTTTTGCTGTTTTTATCTGTTAGAGAAAAGAGGAAATGGATTGCATGTAGAAGGTTGAATTTAGAAGCGCTATAACTAGCTAGCAAAGAGATTCGAAACTTCTTTTTGTTTACTTGGAATCGGATGGCCACTGTCTTCTTTAGAAGGGTCAGGGAAACATATTTCATCAAAATTAATTTTAGAGAATCTTTCCCGATCTTACGGAATTTTGGGGTTTGGAAGGGTTTGGAGGGGTCAGAAGGGGAAGGAAACAGTGCGGTGTCCTTTTTTGTTGAGCCTACTTCCTTCCTTCACAATGAGTATTTAATGCCAGACTATATACAGTCTGTCCTATCTCTGTACCATTCTCTTAAATAGGCAGTTCTTGCTTATGATCTCACAAAGAGAAAATCATTGTTGTTTCATGCTACTTTTTGAGATATCAACAGTGAAACCATCACTGTGGAGATATATTTGCAATGGGGATTTTTGTCTTTCCCTCATTTTATTTTTTACTTTTTAAAGATTTATTTATTTTGGAAAGAGTGTGCATGAGCAGGGGGAGGGGCAGAGGGAGAGAAACTCAAGCAGACTCCACCATGAGCAGGAAGCCCACCCAGGGGCTTGACCCCACAACCCCGAGATTATAACCTGAGCCGAAACCAAGAGTCGTATGCTCAGCCGACTGAATCACCCAGGTGCCCCTGTCTTTCCCCCATTTTAGATAAAATTCCTCAATCAGAAATATGTTAATTTAGGTTTAGTGAGCTGTCTTCTGATAAATAGTCAAAGTTTGAGTCACTACTTAAAACCTAGTATGCTCACCAGAAGCTAGGTAGCTGTACTTCTGATTAATGGTGATTTGCCCACTGTTTCAGCAAAGAGGAGGACTGGTAAGGAAGGGAAACAGAGCTTGTGTTAGTGTGTCTTTGATTTCTGGCTACATATAAAAGTATGGTTTTGAGGAACTCATTAGAAGTGTTCTCACATCAGCCAGGCCAGTAGGAGTTCAAATGACACTTCCCAGTTGAGCATGGTTGGTCTTCATTTTCCATTTACATTGGCCAGTCATCTTTGGTTGTCACTGTATTTTTTAAACATTAATGAAGTTTACCATGACAATAAAGTCCAAAATTTCCAGGATTTAAAGATTTTTTTTAAAAAAGGGAAACCGAAATTAAGAAAAGAGCAATAAAATGTATTATGAAAACAAATTAACATAAAACAGATGAGGAAAATCCATGGATTATGACTACATTGTTATTTATGTAAATATCATGAAAATAAAATAGTCCATTGAGAACCACCACTAATTTCTTAAAATTTTTTAAAAAATGAATGTCAATTGCCAAGAATCCAATTGAATGAGATTTTAAGAAGTTAGCTAAATGTAAGTAAAATACAGCCTATTTAGCATAAACCAAAAAAAATGCATTTGTGAATTCTCATGCGGGCTGTACTTCCTCAAATGTGTTATTTTTTGCTTGTTTATTTGTTTTGGCCCCAGGAAGGACTGTTTAAATATGTTAACTTCACTTTTACAGCATTTTGTACCCAAGACCATTGATGTGAGTTTTCAGCCTTGGGATCAATGATGTTAGCTCATGAAATATTCAAAACTTGAATATTTTAAGCATGCTTATTACACGTGAGCAGCTAAAAAGAAGGCAAATGACTACACTTAATTTGAGAATAGATATTGAAAATCAAGTAGGTTGGGGCAACTGGGTGGCTCAGTTGGTTAAGCATCTGCCTTTGGCTCAGGTCATGATCCCGGGGTCCTGGGATCGAGCCCCGTGTTGGGCTCCCTGCTCGGCAGGAAGCCTGCTTCTCCCTCTCCCACTCCCCCTGCTTGTGTTTCCTCTCTCGCTGTGTCTCTCTCTGTCAAATAAATAAATGAAATCTAAAAAAAAAAAAGTAGGTTTAATGAACTTCTGAGTTCTTACTCTTTGCATTAGATTTGGTGTTAACACAAGGGGCACAGTCTTGTACCTTCTGTTACTCATCACCTTTGAATTCTATGTACTCTGCTATCGGGGTTTGTTTGCTTTAGGAAATAAAACACCCTGGTGTGTGCACACCTGCACCTATAAACTACACTTGCTTGTATTTGAAAGAAAATCTCTTCTAATGTTATTTTCTAAAACTATTACATTTGCCTTCAGCAAGATCTTTTTGCATTCAGTGAAATATTTGTGTCTTTAATAGAAAAAAAAATCTGTAAAGTGACCTTTTGTTCTCTGAAAGTAAACTTTCCCAAATAAGAAGACGTGAGTGATGAAGCTCCCGTCTCAGTAGCCTTAGACTACTTAGATTCAGAGCATTAGAAATGATCTTACAGATCATGTAATCCGACCTTTCTGGGTTTTTTAAGATTTGTCTTTATAAATGCATATATTTAAAGATATTTAAGACCGGATCTGATTCTTTTTGAATTGTTGAGAAGAACAAGAGTCCCCCTGGGAGAAGTAGTGTTTATAATATTTTTTTTCTGGAATTTTCTTTAAACTTCTTTATGCTAAATTGATAAATGTGGCACTTTCCCATTATGTGGAGCGATTTAATTCCTTGCTACCCCTAAAAAACTTTAAAATTGGGGAAATTTCCTTTTTTATATATTAAACTGTTTGGGAGAAATATCATGGTGAATGTCCTAACAAGATGCCAGTGAACTTTCTATTCTGTCAGCGTGACCCTGGGTGATTTTTTTTTTCCCCTTTCATTGTTATCGTATTTTAAGAGTTAGTGAGAAATGTTTATAGAGGTACTTCCCATTAATAGTCAGAATCTGGAAACTACTCACTAGAATGAATAAATAAATGGTGGTATATCACACGTTAGTATACTATCCATGAATGGGAATTACTTAATGTTAGAACAAGTTAAAATTGCCTCAACAGTGTGGATCAATTCTCAGAAGCATATAGTTGAGTGAAAGCTGCCGGATGTGAAAAGTTTCTCTCCTTGGTTCCAAAGTGGGCAAAACTCATCCAAGCTTTTAGAGGTCAGGATCTTGATTCCCTGGGGCAGAGAGGTGACTAGAAGGAGCCTGAGGGGGTATCTAGGTTTCTGGTATGTGATTTTGTGATTTGAGTCTCATTACATGAGTTTACTTTGTAGAAATTCATAGTTTGTGCACTTCTCCATATATGTTATAGTTCAATAGAAAGTATCCCCTGAAAAAGTCAAGAGCTTCTATTAAATGGAAAGTAATGTATTCACTGTCTATTTAGTTGGAGATGAAGGACCAAAAGCCAGGAAGAACAAACAGGAAGCATTTCCGACACTAGAGACTGTGTTCACAAAACTTCAGCTCCTTTCATATTTTGATCAGCATCAAGTGACGTCTCAGGTAGCTGTTTAAAGCTATGTGTTAGGCATTTGGTATATTCATATTTACTTCAAAATTTATTTCATGCAGTATATGTTTTTGGCCTTATTTGGTTGTATAGATATGTTTTTAAAACATATTTGGAATTTTGGAATCATCTCAAACTATTGAGTAGTTCAGTTTGAAGTGTCAGGTTGCCTTCTTCAGAGAAATTAATTTTTTTATCAAAATACTTTTGCCTTATGATAATAGTCAACACTGTGTCAGATACTCCCTAATGCAATAGTTATATTATTACATTTTGGTCCTACATTGCTATGGGAACGGAGAAATCTGTTGATGACTAAAATAAAATACTATCTAAATGAGCAAAAACCAGATCTGTGTTATTTTACAAATCCACTGATACTCAGATAGATGTTATCTGGAAATTAATTAGCATTTGTAGTTGTTCTACCATTAAGATAGGTTAAGATTTTAATGACCACTTGGCTTATTTCTTCAAATTATAGTTGTAGTAAGGAAGTTGTTGGATTTGTATATAGTTTTGGTTTCTTTGGAAATAGGTTTTAACTTTTTTCTAAGTAGAATATATAAATTCAAATTTCTTGCTTAAAAAATTAAAATAATTTTGAATATTGATTTTACAGTTGTTTTCAATTTTGTTTGTTTTTGGTTGCCCAGATCTCTAACAATGTGCTGGAACAAATCACAAGCTTTGCTTCAGGAACATCCTATCATCTCCCTTTGGCTCACCATATTCAGCTTATCTTTGATCTTATGGAGCCAGCACTAAACATCAATGGACTAATTGACTTCGCAATACAGGTGTCAAAGAGACCTTGCTTCTCTCAATTTTAGGAAAGCAAACCTGCTAGGCATCATATAATTTAAAATGAGCAACCCAGTGCCTTTTTGAATAATAGAGACATTCTGAATCAATAGTATTCAAGTAGTATTTTAATTGTAGCCATGTTCATAATTTTCAATTAAATAATTATAATTGGTGCAAAAATATATAATAGTCATTTAAAAATGTGAGGGTTTTGAGGATTTATTTTTGTCTTTTCTAAGAAAAGGTGAAAGTTTATTATTTATTGTAGAGTATATTTTAGGTTAAGAGCAAAAAAATAAAACCTTATAATTAGATTTGTCCCATTAAATGTCTTATAAACATACTTGAGTTCATTTATTATCTTGCTTTTAGTGAATAGAAATAAAACTTGTTTTCTATTTCTTATTGGAGGTGTTTTGTTAATAACAAGAAAATAATGATAAATAACTTCTGTTTTCTTGAAAAGAAAGGAAAACGTGAGAGGTGGGGATATTCTCTGAAATCATCTGGTCTAGAACTTTGGGCTGCCATCAAGTTTTGGTAGCTGTTTCAGTGTTGGATACTTTCTGATTGTATGTATCATGATGTCTAGACAGAGGCAAAACTGTAGAATTTGGTAAAGGGTTAAAAATAAAAACCAGTTTAATTCATTGGGGCTTGTTTTCTCACACTGTAGTTGTGTATGCATATGGTCCTGGGACGGATAGTGGGTGAGATAAAATGGTATTGGAATGACTCAGTGTGTGGTTTGTGAAAAAAAAATATTTTTCCTATTCCTTTGGCAGCTACCTTTTTACTCAATCTTTTCTTCCTTTGTAGCTGCTAAATGAACTGAGTGTTGTGGAAGCCGAACTGCTCCTGAAATCCTCCAGCCTGGCAGGAAGTTACACAACGGGACTGTGTGTTTGCATCGTGGCTGTTCTCAGGCGGTACCATAGCTGTCTCATCCTCAATCCTGATCAGACAGCCCAGGTGTTTGAAGGGTTGGTATATAAAATATCATGACTGTTTTTCACATGTCGTCTATGTATAATTTGTGAAGGAATATCGTAATGGTTTTAAGAGGAAAAATAGGACAGGTGTTTGTTTCAATTTGAAAGATAGAGTTAAAGACTACTTTTGCCGGAAAATATTTATCAGTGAAGAAGACATAAGCAGGAAAAGTATGTTCTCCAAATAGGCCTTCCTTGCCTGCCCCTAATTTCTATGAGCATAAGCCCGTCATTTACAACACTGTATCATTTGCTACCCCGAACCACGGCTTATGATGAATGATGAATATGTCTCAGCTGCTTCGTTGATGTAATTCCAGGTTATAGTCAAGACGAAATGAGCTTTGCACACGTTGTTATTTTCCTATTTGCTTCTTCAATTTCATTTCTTTTAGAAACTAAATCCATCTTGACTAAAGTTAATCTAGAACAAATGACCTTCTTGTGTCTTAGTCTGTTTTTTGGTTTGTTTGAACTGTAGGGTGAAGTTTTCTTCGCTGTCACTCATGAAGTTGGACCAAGTCCTAACATCATCCCCATTAGAGGCTGAGGTTATAGGGACGAGAGAAGTGTAGTGACAGAACACCTGTATGGAGCTCCTTTTTGTCTACTGCAGACTTCTTTCTCTAGGGCTTTATATATATTAAAACAAAAACAAAAACAACACCTCTTTTCTTTTTCTGACATTTTCCTTCCTGGATTTAAAAGAAACATGGGGTTCTGTGGTTCCACAGTACTTTTTTTCTGTAATCTAGCACATGCAATCAATTTATCATCTCTTCTGGAGTGTCATCCATTTAGCAGAAGCTTTTTGGGGGAAAAGGAAATGCTACCACATTAATAGTACACATAGACTATTAAATGAAATCTCAAACATTCCAGATATTATTAAAAGGTTGAAAATAAACATTTTAGAATTCAGGAAATATAGGACCACCTAATAGCCCTCAACTGCCCTATAAAATTGCATAATTAGTACCATTTACAAATCATGAAACCGAGACTCAGGCCTTTTAAATGCAGTTGAAGTTGAAGTGATCTACTTAACATTGCATAGCTAATAAATCTCCCAGATTGCATAGGTAATAAATCTCCCAGATTGCTAAAAGTCATTCTACATAAGAGCACATTCATGCTCCTTGATTTATACTGTGCTTTCTAAACTGTGTTTGGAAACCTATCAGTTAGTCATAATGTGAATATTATAGATTTTGACAAATTTTATTTTTGTTATTTTGAAATTTAGTATCATTTGACATTTTAAATGTATTATCTATTAAATATTCATAAAATAATATTTGATATTACATTTTTATTTTGAATGCATATACTGGATCTCAGTGTAAAATGTTTTTCTTATCTCTAACAAGTGAAAAACAATCAAGGAAACACTGCTATGGTATGGATGCCTAACAAACTCTCAATAAATGTTTGTTTACTTTAATCACAACTTAATGCTTTTTAGAGTAGAGTAGAGCAAGCACATACTTGCTTTTTAGAGTATGTGTAGAATTTTTGTTAGTATATTTAACAGATCAAATCCTCTGCTTCTTAATTGCAGGATACTTTTACTGTAACTGACAGCTTTTATCCGCTGTCTGGTGGCTCTGTCTGCTGATATCATTTCGCAGGGCTTGGGATGCAACATTGTCATTTCTTTATTGTCTTGTCATTTCCACCTCTGGTATTTGTGATTGTAGTGTCCTTCTTGGCCTTGACAGCCTTGGCTGTCCCTGGTTTCCCTGACCCCCTTAATAATGGAGAGAGCTGAGGATTGGGAGTTGGGAGACCTCAGCTCTCCTCTTGGATGTGCTATTAATTAGCTTTTCGCCTTTGGGCAAGTTATTTCACCTGTCTGAGCCTCAGCTCTGTCTTTTTTAAATGAGGAAGATGAATCAGATGATTTTAAAAGCCCTTTTCAGCTTTAATAATCTGAGTCATCGATGACATTATTGTGATATTACTGAACCCTATAACAGAATACAAGATGGTAATAGTGGAATCAGAGTTACAAATAGGTGGATGGACCACCAGTGTTTTCTTGTGTGTTATATGAAGCTTTTCGTTGAATGAACTGTGGCCAAAGGGACCATCCTTCCGTTATGGGGAAAAGGGCACAGAAATGGTATAGTAACAGTACTTCTTTTTTGAAAGACTTCTAGAGAATGTCATTAAAAAAGGAAGGGGGGGTTAATTTCTTAAAGTAAAGTAAAATTTGTGTCTGGTTTGGATAAACAAGGAGAATATGACCTCAAATCAGGAATTCATCAAGTTTTTGCCAGGACCAGCTTATGGTCCCGAAAATGAATTTCCCAGATTTACTGATTTAGACACTTGCTCTTTTCCAAAGGAGTAGACTTAAGAATCTTTGCAAATGGCCTGAATTTATGATCTTTTTACTGAAGAGAGATTCTCTACGACAGATTTTCTCTAGTGTTCTGGTCACAGTAAATTCATTGATGGATTCCTCCATATGTACCTTCTGTATTCATTTCTTGTTGTTAATGGTATTTCCAAGTCTTTTTAAAAATCATCTAGTTTTTCAATATCCTAATAGAAAAATGATATTTTATGCAATTATGTACTATTGCTATAATCATTAGTATCAAAAACCTGATACCTTTTTTCTTATCCAAGTAATACACCCACATATTCTCACTCTAAAGGATTCAAACAATAAGATATATATTAGCAAAATATGTGTCTCATTTCTTCATATATTTTTCCCCCTCAGGTTATGTGGTGTGGTAAAGCATGTTGTGAACCCCTCAGAATGTTCCTCCCCCGAGAGATGCATCTTAGCCTACCTCTACGATCTCTATGTGTCATGTAGCCACCTCAGAAGTAAATTTGGAGACCTCTTCAGGTGGGTAGAAGGAAATCAACAGGAATAGGATTATGCCTATATTTGGTAGTGACCCAACTAATATTGTCATACTTTTTAATAAAATTAATCGTAACTATATCTGCCAGAATTCATATTGAATTATCTTTCATTGTCACTTTAACCTCCTATTACCAATTACTCTGCATGTTTAGCTATGATTGCAATTCTGAGATAAACTTGAAAGGAAATATTCTGTACTTTGCACTTGCTAGTACCTCACTTGAAACGTTACCCTGCTGTTTGAATGCTTACTTACTTTCTCGCTGCCTTTGCTTCTCTGCTTCCTTGACCATCCTATTTCAGATGGTGTCCCTGAGTGGGTGTCATTCTCTGCATCTTAGCGCTTGCCATTACCCCCACAAGTAGACAGGTGCTAGAAAACACATACTTACTTAATGTTATTGTGAGGAAATTTTGATTATTAATTGTAGGCGGGGTTATGAAGGGGACAATAATAGCTGCGTATTAAATTTGTCATCTAGAAGGAGCTAAGGAAAGAATTAGGGTTCTTTGTTCTTAAATTCCATGAGCTTTGTCATCCAGGTTTGTGTAGAATGTGACTGCTCATCATTGCTTTGTCACCACCACTATCTCTTGGTTAGACCATTGCAGAGTCCTAACTGATTTCTCTGCTCGCGCCCCTGACTCTCTTTAGCATATTGTCAGCATACCTACTAAAGTCATCCTTTAAAACAAGAATAACTTGAAGATTTCTAGTGGCTTCTTATCTACACAGAATAAAATTCAAAGTCCTAACCTAGCCTTCAGGATCTGCTGAATGCAATCTGCTCTTTTCTCTCTTCCCCGCTGTGTACGCCATGCTAACCACATGGACCTCCTTACTGGTCTTCACACACTAAGCACACTCCCGTCTTGGGACTTTGGCACTTGCTGCTCCCATTCATGTAATCCTTCCCCTCTCTTACTAACATGTTCATCCCCACAGTACATTCACGGTCTACCTCCCTGCCCATCCTGTTTTCAATAGCAGCCTCTTCTCCCTACTCTCTGTCGTTCTCTGAGCCTTAGCACTTGCCACCACTGAGTGAATTATATAGGTATTTATGGTCTGGCTTCCTCCTAGAATGTAAACTTCGTGAAAGGAGGAACTTTTATTTTCTTCATTGGCATATCCTGGTACCTTGAAGAATGTTTGGCTCCTAGCAGGCACTGCAAAAATCCTGCTGAATGCAAGCTACATCCAGGGGGGAAAAAAAAAATCATGATATTTTCAATGGTATCAGTAGGGGAAAAAAATGGGAGAGTATGTCATCGTGAAATGAGCTAGGTTTCCCAATAATCCCTTGTAGAACATTTGAATGGGTCTTAGGAAGCATCTTTCCACAGAAATGATGTAATAAGAATAATACCATACATTCTTACTTTACAGACAGCTTTCATTTTCAGTTTACGGTTTTCAGAGAGATTTCTCATACATGATTTGGTTCTTGAAACCAAATAGTGAACTTCCCGAGAAAGCCCTAATAGCCTGTTTGACCCCTAGTGCTCCCGCCGAGTAGTGCCAGTGTGTTCAGTAAGTGAATTCAAGTAATGTACCTGGGGTGTGTGGAGGCTTAGGAGACCAACAGTGAGCTGAGGGTCAGTACGGTGTCACATCACAGGGAGGGGCCCTGGCTCACGCTTGCTCGGTTAAAGACCTCGCAGACCAGTGCAGCTCTCCGGAAACCCTGAAGTAAGGCATTATTTGTCGATCGGGATTAAGAAAAACAGTCAAACAAAAGCTAGCGTCTCAGAGAGATTTCTATTATTATGCTAATAAAACAGTTTTAATAATTAGATCTGAAGGAGCATCTCTAAAGTTGTGTGAGAGGACTGTTGGGGGGAAATACGTCTTGTGCTGATCGGGCGGCAGCTGTGTGCCAGGCACTGTGCTGGGTTCTTTCCATCAAGATCTTTAATCCTCTCCACTACCTCAGGAAGCAGAAATGACTGTCCCTAGCAAGAAGTGATTGTTCCTCATCCTAAGCTAATAAATGGTGAAGCCTAGATTTGCACATAAGTCATTTTGGCCTAAAAGCATGTGTTGCTTTTATTACTGTCAGGTTTTTCAGGTACAGGCAGTTTCAGACACAAGATGTCTCAGTTGTTTCCTTAGTTTCATATATGTCTGCAGCGGAGAGTGGTGAGAATTTGAGAGTGACCTAGAAAGCAGCTAATGTTTTATTAAAGCATGGAAGGGCTCGTCTGGGAAGAGTGTAATAAATGAAACAGGAAGCCTAGAAATGAAAAGTAAGGAGACTTCACCACGAGGCACAGATTTCAGAAAAATTATGCAATGCAGGCTGGAGGTAGCTGAGAGTCAACTCAGGAGAATTCTCTAGACTGAAAGAAAAGTGGGGGCTGACTCTTACAAAAATTAAAGAGAGGAAAGCAGGATTCTTTTGGTTTCTAAGACAGACACGAATAGATTGGTAGAATTAAGTAGGAAAAGAGGTAATGCTTTACTGTTTGCCGAGGTCCGTTTCATTAAAATGACAGTGTATGGAGAGGTGGAGGGAACCAGCAAAAGAACAAAGCTGGTTTTTGTTTCATTTTTTACTGAAAAAGTGAAACGCATTAAGAACTATTACTAAGTGAGAATGAATGAAAAGTTGAGTAGAAAGGTTGACAAGGGTTAAGGGAGGAAAACGGGAGACATTTAAAAGCCCTGGGGGCTGTGAAATACTCATCCTTTTGAACTGGTCATCTGGATTGCACACTTGCACCCTTCAGGGACAGCCGACACCTTTTAATATAAGGTGTCTGCTGAGAAAGAACGGAGAAGGCTGTAATTACTGTCATTTAGTGGGTTTCTTTAGTCCTGTCTGCCAGACCAGTATTTCCTAGATTTACGAAGTTGGAATGAAAACCTCCTATTGGGACTCGACTCTAGGAATACATTAGAGTTATGTATTTCCATAGAGTTGCTGCCATTGAATCTGTCCTTAAAGGAAATAGCCTTCTAGTTATTCTAGTTTTGTTGTTTTTTTTTTTTAACTTTTCTCCTTGTAACCTCAGTAGTGCCTGTTCAAAAGTTAAGCAAACCATATATAATAATGTGATGCCTGCAAATTCTAACTTGCGATGGGATCCAGACTTCATGATGGATTTTATTGAGAATCCTTCAGCTCGTAGCATCAATTACTCAATGCTGGGCAAGATCCTTAGTGACAATGCAGCCAATCGCTACAGCTTCGTCTGTAATACGCTCATGAATGTATGTATGGGCCACCAGGATGCTGGAAGGTGAGCTGGGTTACCCTGGAATTCACTTCGAACAACCTAGTCATTGCCTGGGTGTTACTTTTAAACTAATGTCATTAGTAATTGCCTGGGCTGACATTTGGATGTTTGCTTTTTGTTCCCCCCATTTATTCCTGAATTGATCTCTGCTTTATACAGTGATTTCCTTAGCCTGACAGGCTATCCTGGCTGAATGCTCTGGCATGAGATGCTTTAGATAAAAACTATAGGTTGTCTATCCACTTAAAAAAAATAATAAAAACCCAAATGAAAAACACCTATATCAGAGGCACCTGGGTGGCTCAGTGGGTTTGGCCTCTGACTTGATTTCACCTCAGGTCATGATCTCAGGGTTGTGGGATTGAGCCCTGCATCGGGTCTGTGCTCAGTGTTGAGCCTGCTTAAGAATCTCTCCCTCCCTCTCTCTCTGCCCCTCCCCCTGCTTCTGCTCACTCTTTCTCTCTAAATAAATAAATAAAATCTAAAAAAAAAAAAAAACAACCCTATTTTAAAACACTGTTTTTTTACCTACCTAAATTACACAGTGTCTTTAATTTTTTTGATGCCCCTAAAAATGTAAATTTGTAAGTCACGTTTGTTCTCAGAACAAAAATATGTTAATTGGCATCTGTACTGATTTTGCTCAGCAACATTAAATATTTGAAGCCACTTACTTTTATCTTTGGTTCCAGGTTCTACTAGGTTATATAACAAGTGGGTATTTGATAAATCTTTTTATCTTAGAAATGAATGACTTGTTTGATGGTAGTGAGGTATGTGCTCATTAAGTATATTACATGTGCCTGTTTCTCTCCTGTTACTTTCTACTGTGTTCTTTTTCCTCTTCCTAGGATTAACGACATTGCCAATTTCTCTTCGGAGCTGACAGCTTGCTGCACTGTTCTTAGTTCAGAATGGCTGGGAGTTCTGAAGGCTCTTTGTTGTTCTTCAAATCATGTGTGGGGGTTTAATGATGTACTTTGCACTGTAGATGTAAGTTTTCTTTTTTGCTTAAAAACTCATCTGTGCAATGAAATATTTAGTTAGTAATTCTTTTTAATTGACTTAACCCTTACCTGAAATACAAAATATTTTTTCTTTCTCTGTCCAAAAACAATAAAGGAGAATGCGGTTGTCAAGGATTACATAAATGAAAAAAAAAATTGAAATAAATACAATAGCTTAATCTACAGAGATGCCAAGAGTTTCACTCTTTTTAGCTGAGATTTCTTATATATGTTCTCTTCAGAGCTGTCGGTTCATTTTGTTTACCAAGTGCCTTGGACTCCTCATGGTACAAGACGTAATTTACCTAAAGCAGTTTACATTTACATTTTGAAGAGAACCAGTTTGTTTTGTAAGGCTCAAGGCACTTTCTAGGAACATAGCTTTCACTGTGTTGCCTAAGAATGTCCAGGCCCAGATTCATTGACGTGTTCAGGCTTTCTTAGTGATTGTGTCTGGAAGTTGATGAAGAGATACCTGGTATATATCACTGATTTCCTTCGCATGTCCTGTTGCATCCATGATGTGTAAAGTTTTTAAAAAATCTGTCATGAGTCTCTGTTTTCCCTATGAATTCTTGGAGTGATCATGTTACATGTTGGTGTGTCTTCTGTGTAGAAGACATTTATATATTTTTACAAACCTCCTTCCACCTTCCAGTTAGAGGTTTACTTTCTAGTTCTGGTATCTCAGGTAACTCATATCTGTTACCTGCTTTTCCAGACAGAAGAGATCCCAATTTTTATCTTTAACGTAATTCCTTAACCTCTTCGTTGTTTTCTGTTATACTTTATCTCTGCTTTGTTCCTTCATCTGCAAAATTGGGATTAATAATAGTATGAGCCTCATGGTGGTATGCTATTAAATGAGGTGATTTTTGTAAATCACTAACCATAGTTATTGGCATATAGTACAACTTAATATGAAGTCTGCTCTTATGATTGTTTTTGTTACTGTTCTCTTCCAAAGTCTTGTTTGGTCTGTGTAGGTAGAGGTTTTATTCTGAATGCATTGATTTTCCTTCTCTCCTTTTTTTTCACAATCTCTCTCTCCTCTCTCTCTTTCACTCTCTTTCAAGTTTAGGAGTCATTTGGAAATTTTCAGAGTTGTTTTTAAAACTATGTTATAGAATCATTCATATTTATCCCTGAAAAGAACTCTAAAACATTAATAAGGCTTAGAACTTCCTTGTTTTTCCTTTCCTCCCTAATGATCTTACCCTTAAATAACAGATGATGTTGTATTCTGCCAAAAAGTTTTATTTATGCTACATCTTTTAGGAATTTCTTGATTTTGTTTTTGTTTTGTTCAATAACATGGACTCTAGATAAAACTCAGTATCTCCTGATAGCATTGGGATATAGGTAAACCTCATTCTTGGTCTTATAAAGTAGAAGTAGTCCTTAGAAGATAATAAGTCTGACGTGTTACCATTTCACTCTATTGGGTCATTTTGGGATTTGAGATCTTACTGGTGTTGCCTACATTCTCTTAGATATTAAGCTTAGATGTTACCTGAAAGGGTGTTGGGTATTAAAACATGTCAATGTTTTTCTTGAAGGTGAGTGACCTTTCATTCCATGATTCATTAGCTACTTTCATTGCTATTCTGATAGCACGACAGTGTTTCTCTCTGGAGGACGTCGTGCAGCACGTCGCACTTCCCTCGCTCCTGGCAGCAGGTACGGCACATCCAGAGTGGCCCTTGTTATTTGATGGCTGTCTTGGGGTGGTTTCTAGCTATTACAACACAGTAAACATACTATTAAAGCGTCCCTGCATTGGGCAGTGGTGTGGTGTTGAGGTAAAGATTATAGAATTGTCAGTGTTGTTCTACACAAAATCAAATGGATCCCTATGGAAAAGGTTGTTTTTAAGGAAGCCCTCTGGTTTCCTGAAAAAGCATAGCTTAGTGCGTTACTTCTTACTGTAAGGAGCATTTATATTTAAATTATTCCAGAAAAGTTAGCTTAATAGAAAACCTGAAGACATGTCCTTGAATAAATTAGCAAACGTGCTTTTAAAATCTTTCCTAGCTTGTGGGGATGCAGATGCTGAGCCGGGGGCGAGGATGACATGCCGACTTCTGCTTCATCTCTTCCGAGCTCCCCAGGCCTGCTTATTACCTCAAGCAACCGGTGAGCTGAAAGCTGAAAAACCCCTGGTGACATTTTCCTTTGGAGGTATAGATGCTAAAATGACCAAGTAGGCTGTCCATTCTGTCATTTCCTTCCTGATACTGGTGAGCTTGCTGTGCAGGTGAGGAGGGAGTGTAGTAATACCCTTGAGAGCTCTCTTAGCACCTTTTATTTATGCAATATCAGGATGGATTGAGAAACTCAAATCAGGAGTTAATGAACAATAAAAATACTTTTGCTCTTAGGCCAAGCCCTGCCGCTGGGCAGCTTGATCCTCTCACATACTGTGTGTGTTGGTTATGAACCATATCAGAGCAGCTTAGGGCAATGATGATTCATTTATTCTTTTACTAAGGTAAAAGGAATAAGGTAAGAATTCTAGGGGTGTGATTGAAGTGTGTTTCTAAAAATCATTTCCATACGAGTGTGTGTGTGTGTGTGTGTGTGTGTGACAATCAGCATATGTAGATGAATGTTCCTATTTTTTTGGTACATCTCTTTAAGTAGCAAAGACATTGTTTTAATAATTAAAAAGCAAAGGTTAAGAAAGGAATACTGACAGTGTTTCTTAGTGAATCCATGAAGCATCGATTAAAGCTAACTGATGGCAGTTAAGGACCCACCGTCTAACAGTGAAAGGCTCTGCTGATTGTAAATGGTTAGAAGAGATTGTTAATGGTGGTAATGAGACCATTTGCTGTTGTTCTCATAGGCAAACCTTTCCCTGGAATAAGATCATCTTGTGATAGACACCTCTTAGCCGCTGCTCACAACAGCATTGAAGTGGGAGCCGTGTTTGCTGTCTTAAAAGCAATTATGATGCTTGGTAAGATTATCCTGGCACTAAACTTGGTTATTCACCAGAAACAGAGGAAAAATAATTTGTATTTAGGTTCAACTCTAATTCATATTACTAGAAACATGGTTTGGTTTGGTTTGGTTTTCCTGGCAAAATTAGTTGGCTTTCTCCAAGTCCAAGATCAGTTGGACTTGAGATGTCTGCTCCTTACCTACAAATTCTGGGGGAATTTAAATATAATAGGTCTTTTTTTTTTTTTTTTGATGGCGTTTTAATACAGGATATTTCATTTTGATACAATATAGATTCTCAGACCCACAGGGTATTTTGTTTTTATTTGTTGGCATAAATCACACTTTCTGATGGACACAGATGACATGGTGATCTAACCAAAGGTTTAAATTTCATGTCATATATTAGGAGCAGGACACCAGAAAACCTGGGTTTTAACCTTAGTGTTTCTACTTCAGTTGTGACCCTTAACAAGTGTATAAACTTCTGCCTTGCGGTTTTCATGAATCAGGTAATAATTGCAATGATGTTGATATTATTGATAAATCAGTATTAGATATCAGAATTTTTAAAAATTTAATCCATAATGTCCAAGACATCCTTTATACTCCTATTGGGTATGTACTCCTGGAGTAGTAGTACTGCATTTTCTATTCATTGATAGTGTAATGCTTTAAGACATTTTGATTCTATAAATTGTTCAGGATTTGAATGAGTATGAAGTCCTGAGTCCACACTGCCTAATTCCAACTGTGGGAACCCTCGTTTGGCCTTGACTAAATAAAAGTTCTCTCATGTTCTGAAGGAGCTCTCTCTGATTAGAATAGAAACTATTGAGTAGATAGGAAATGTTTTAGAGGAGTCTTAAAGAACATTATACTTTATACAGCTGTTTGAATGTTATTTGGTGACAATAAAGGATAACAGGATTTTCACTAAAAAAATTATTAAAAGTTCACCTTAAAAGAATATATATACACACACATATATATATTTACATGTGGTTTCTAATTTTTGCAGTAGTTTAAGATTAAAAGTTGGAGAAAACATATGTATACATTTATATATTATATCAAAGGGATGCCCTTGGAAATGCCCATGAGTTTACAGTAAAAGGGAAAGGTAGAGCCATGTGGATGGTCATAGCCTCTCTTCTGAGCTTAGGAGCTTGTATTATTATACTACCAACATTAAATGCTCATTTCAGTAAATAAAATTTCTCTTCTCTGATGATGTTTGAAAAGAAAATGGCTGGTCAATCTACTTAAATAAATGTAGAGATCATGAAGTCAGAGACTTGCTTTTTTTTTTTTTTTTTAACCGGTATCTCTAATGCCCATCAGAAAAACTAGAAAGTAGGTTTTGAAACAGTAGCTATTCAACAAACAAATGTTTGAATTGTGACTACAGAAGGGGATAGACACTTAATGGCAGAAAGCAAGATGAGTGCCATCTAGACACTTACCCCTTCATTGGGAGGACTGTTCCAGTTCCAACTAAAATTTGCCAGCCTCTTTAAAGAGTCACATAATTGTATTTTAATATCCATGTGTAATAACCAGTTCATTTATCTTTGGTTGGCTTTCCTCGATCTTTGTAATTCACGTCAGTTCTTGGTAGATAGAGAATGCTTCAAGTCTGAGAAGTCAGGATCGGGTCATTTGGATGTCAGCAGAGCCTTGGACTGGGTAGTCTCTGAACACTCTTTTCTACAGTTACGGAAGGTTTTGGCACAGTCTCCTGTACCTTCTCTGTCATCCTAACATCTAAACTAAATGAGAATCTGAGGATTTCCTAGGCAGAGGTGTTTGTTTCTCTGATTTTGTTTTTATGGAAGTTTTAATTTCTCTACCTTACCCTGTCCTTACCAATGTTCTCTCAAGTCCTGTCCACCAGGATCTATTTTGAGTTTGGGAGCTAAAACTGTTCTTTAGAAATTGGTTTTTAATTTATGTAGTAGTTTTACCTTAAGGTGTAGAAATAGTTCTTTATATCCCCAGAGGTGGGAGAAAGTATGCTAAATTTTGGTACATATCTTTCAGCTCCCAAGGAGCTCTGTTGAATTAAATAAACTCTTGTGAGTGAAGTGAAATTGGCACTTTTTCTATTGTGTATTTTAATGAGGAATTTATATTATAAGATATTGATGATTTGAAAAGCATTGTTTATTCCTCCCCTCCTCTTATAATTTTATAAATAAATATTCACTAAGCCATTCTGATTTTTCAAATTTTCAAATTTTTCAAAACCTTTTCTTGGTTGACCTGTAGGTTTTAAAAGGCTTTTTTCACTGATCTGGGCTTGGTTTTACTCATAGTGGGTAGTGAGGGGCCTCATTTAAACTCATTTGTTGGTTCCAAGAAATTTTCTTGTTCAAGGCTTATAATCCTGTGGGTAAACAGGCAAAAGTTTAGAGGCTCTGTTGTCATTTGGTAGTCTTTATTATCAATTCTCTCACTTTAAAATATGATAGTGATTTGTCTTTAACAGCTGGAGAGGATTTATTTCCAGCTATTCAGACATTCTGCTCCATTTTGTTCCCAAGAACTTGATTACGAGGGAAGCCCTTTCCTTAGTTTCATTTGACTCAGTATATTAGAGGTTGATCTGGTGAGGTTTTCTAATTTGGATGTTTACAGAGAGGAAAGTGAGAGACTTGGGTTATTCAATGAGTGCCCTATGTTTTAGGGCTTCCTTAGTATGCATTGCCCTTTTCCATTCCCAGGGAAATAAATCTCTCTTGTCAAGAAGTTGATAGTAAGGTGGGCTAAGGCAAAACTTTTCTCTTGACCTATGGATAGAAAATAAGTCATTGTAAGAGAAGAAATGGAAAAGGGACATCTAGAAGGGTGAGTAACCCATTTTTTCCTTATCTATAAGTGAAATGAATTTGAATATTGAATACATTTGTGCTTGAAATATTGGTGAAATCAATGTTCTCTGATTATTAAGTATGATTCATAATGGCCTTTCCAAGTTCAGTGAACACATACTTAATTCTGTAAACGAAATAAGGAATAAGTCTTGAATATGCTTCTTTTTCCATGTCCAGTGAAACTTCTCTAGGTTCTTGCAATTATTCTCTTGATCTGTTCTCTCTCTTGCTGAACAACTGTCTATGCCATAATGATGCCATTCACATATTTTAAGTCCCTGAAGACTTGCTTCATTTACTTCTCAAGGATTTGGCAATATTTTGAACTTCCATGATTTTGCTTTTGTGGTTCTATTATTTAGGAGATGCCAAAATTGGCAATAACAATGTCAGCTCTTTAAAGAATGATGACTTCACCATGAGGGGTTTACGACGTGATGGGAATGCCGATGATATCTGGACTGCCTCACAAAATTCAAAATCCTGTGGGAAAAACATTTCCATAGAAACTGCCAATTTAAAAGAATATGCTAGATATGTACTGAGGACTATCTGTCAACAGGTATTTTTCAGATTTAATTTGCCTTTAACTTCACTGTATAATTGTTCTTATGAGAGAAATGCTCACTGTTGTAGGAAACTTGCACATTGGGGGTCCTTTTCTTCCTGCTAACTTTATTTGGAAATAAAATTGAATTTGTTGAAAAGTTGCAATAATAATAAAGAACTCTAGTGTATATGCCCTTTGTGTAGATTCACCCATTGTTTACATTTTGCCACATTGCTTTATGATTCTATTTGTGTGTGAATGTGGATGCATATACTTTTTAATTTTTTGCTGAAGCTTTTGAGAGTAGATGGCATACATTATGAATCTTTACTTTTTAATACCTTAGTGTTTACTTTTTAACATAACCAAATGCAGTTACCAAAAAACAAGAAATTTAGCCTTGGTACAGTAATTTTTTCTCACCTGCAGGCCATATTCAATTTTGTCAGTTGTCCCATAATGTTGGTTTTGTCTGAAATTTCCCATAGATTAGCTTCAGATGATGCAATCTTGGCCAAGATGCTACAGAAGAAATGTTGTGTTCTAGGGTAGTCACACCTGAAGGCACATGATGTGCATCTGCACCTCACTGGCGGTGATCGTTTTGATCAAGGTGTCTCCATTGTATGGTTTCAAGATCTTGCTGCTGTGTAGTTACCATTTTTCCCCTTGCAATCAGTAAACAGTCATTGGGAGACATTTTGAGACAATACAGATACCCTGCTCTTCAAACTCCACCACCCATATAGCATTCATTTTGATTCTTGTCCCAACTAGTCTTTATTTGAGGGTTTCAAAATGGCGATTGCTTTTCCCCCCAACTCCTCTATAGTTAGTGATTTGCACTGTACTCTAAAGACAGCCTACCCTTATTAATTTTTTCCCTTATTCTTATTTATTTGTTATCCATATGGATTATCAAATACTATCCTTAGTTATTTTCATGTTCAAATTGTCACAGATTTGTCCAGTGGGAGCCTTTTCATCCTGGCTTTTAAGTTATTTTGACATGTCTCTATCCCTTCCTCCCCGCCCCTCCCCCCCCAAGTATTTTCTTAGTTCCTGGCCCACCTTGTGCTTTCCCTGTTCCAAACCTGGAATTACTTATTCCTCCAAGGAACTCTGGTTCTAGTTAGTAGAGGATGGTATTTAGAAACCAAGATATGGGCACTGTGGTGCTCATTAACTGTAGGCAGTAGGTATTCTTTGTCTCTAAGCCCTTTCAGCAGATAGAGGTAGGAAAAAATACATGCATATACATAAATGTCTGTGTATATTCATGAGTTCATACTGATACATCCACTTCTATTAACTCCACTTAGTTCTTTGGATTCCCCCATTCCATATTAATATTGTCTTCCACAGCAAGAACCCTGGCTCCCAGTAAGATTAGTCATTTATTCATGTACTTAATTCTGTACTACACCTGAAATAGTTTTGAGAATTGCTACACCTATGCCACTAGGAAAAAATGAAAAGGAGTTGAGGATTTGTTTTTTTGTGTGTTAAAAATCTTTTTGAACTTTCTCCTTCAGTATGGATGTTATTCATTTAAAATAGAATTGATTTGATTTGTTTTTGTTTGCCGTCAGTTTAGATTCCCTTTTTCTTCCTCCCCACCTCAGCTCTGCTTTAGACTAGCATGCTTCTACAAGTCAACTGCACAAAAAGGAGTACTAAGAGATGTATTCTCTGTCACTTGGCTCTTCCATCCTGTGTTTTTTCCTGCCCTTGGTGATCAGTTTTATTATTTGTTAATTTATCTTCCTTTTTCTCCCTAATTTCTCTTTTCTTATAAAAAAAAGAAAACATGGCATACCATATATACTATATTCCATTTTGATGGAGACATTATGTTAACAGGGTCATGTTTTTATTAGGGCATATTGTAACTATGGTTAAAGTTCGTGAAATGGTCATATAGATAGTGAGAAGCAGTTGTGTATTGGTTCCCAACCAGAAGCACCAAAGGTTTAATGTTTTAATCCCTGAAAAATATTACTGATGTCTGGGTCCCACCATCAGATATTTATTTGATGGGGCCTAGGCTTTGGAATTTTAGCAAGCTCCCCGGGTGACTTTAATAGATACACAGCATTGGGCTCCTGGTATAGTTAAGAAACTAGGCCACCTCTGAAACAGATCTGGGTTCAAATTGCACTCTGTTGATGATTTCTTCTATAGTATAAGAGTTTGCAATGATAAAGAAAAGGTGATAGGGATTTAAATTGGTAGAAACTCTCTGGAGGGCAATTGACTATATGTATCAATAATTTTAAATTTTGTTATACTCCTTGACCCAAAAATTGTGCTTTTATGAAATTATTCTAAGAAAATAACTGTATAGAAAGTAGATATGCACAAATATTTATAATAATAGCATTTAGAATATAAAAATGAAGACAGTTTTCTAAATATTTTACTCTGTTCTTTCTATTCAGCGGAATATACTATGTGTTACATAAAAATGAAGACATGTAATAATAGAGAATCATTACCATTATATGCCAATATTTTCTTTAGTTTCTTTAGCTTTCTTTTCTTTCCTTTTTTTGCATATTTGTTTTTCAAACTTTTTTTTATTATGTTAATCACCATACATTACCTCATTAGTTTTTGATGTAGTGTTCCATGATTCATTGCGTATAACACCCAGTGCTCCATTCAGTATGTTTTTTAACCAAGGTCCCACTTTGTATGTTTAGGAAGTCAAAATACCAGGAATTTTGTTTTCAAAAATTTTCCCACCTACTTTTTTCATGTAATTTTTTTTTAATTGGAAGATTTCTGTCTGCTTTATATTCCATTGTGCAACATGATTTAGTGCCTATTACATTCATGTATAGAAAGTCTCTGCCTGTCAATCTAACAGCCTTTTTTTTTTGTTTTTTTTTTTTTTAGGAATGGGTAGGAGAACATTGCTTAAAAGAACCTGAAAGATTATGCACAGACAAAGAGCTTATATTGGACCCTGTGCTTTCAAATATGCAAGCACAGAAATTACTACAGCTTATCTGTTATCCTCATGGTATTAAAGAATGTACGGAAGGGGACAACTTGCAAAGACAGCACATTAAGCGTATTCTTCAGGTGAGTGATAAGAGTCTAAAGATGATTGTGTTTGTCATGTAACAGTTTTTTTTTTTTTTTTTTTTTTGCTCAGTGCTAACTAATTCTTGATTTCAGTTCTGATTTTTATTCTCCCAACTTTCTTTTCTGTGCAATTGCTGTACTTCATTGCTAGGTAAATATAGATACTGCAGATGCTATACAATCATAATATAAACATTGATATTTTAAGTCTACTGTATTTAGATGAGACATAAGCTTTCTGGAGGGATAGTCTTAATTATATTATTCAAAAAGTATTGAAATTATTTTGGAATGGGATTGCTTAGATAAATAGATTTTGGGAGAAGAAATCCCTGTCTTATTTCCAGTGCCTGGCTGAGTGATATGCGTTATTTTATTTTACTTTATTTATTTTTAAGATTTTATTTATTAGAGTGAGCGAGTGAGAGAGAGCACACAGGCAAGGAGAGGGGCAGAGGGAGAGGGAGAAGCAGACTCCCCATTGAGCAGGGAGCCCAATGCCGAGCCCAATCCCAGGCCTCCAGGATCATGACCTGAGCCCAAGGCAGACGCTTAACTGACTGAGCCACCCAGGGGCCCCAAATGTGCATTATTTTAATGTTTGTTTTTTTTTAATTTGTGTCTACAATGAATGTATGTAATGGACCTGGAAGCCTTTTGATCCCTACAAATTCCTTTATTCTGTATGATTATTCTATTCTTTCTTGAGAGAGGGAATACTGCAAGGAATTACTGTATTTTAAGACACATTCAGTATCCTTGATATATTAATTCTTTCCATTTTCCCCAGAATCTTGAGCAGTGGACACTAAGGCAGTCCTGGCTAGAACTTCAGTTAATGATCAAACAGTGCTTGAAGGACCCTGTGAGTATATATATTGGAAGGCTGTGTTATGTATACAAAATTTTAAGAACAGGAAGAACACGTTGATGTTGGAGGATGAAATAAAACATATGCATGCTAGTTTTCTTATGTGTAACTCCAGGGCTCTGGTTCAGTGGCTGAAATGAACAACTTGCTGGATAATATTGCAAAGGCAACAATAGAGGTATTCCAACAGTCTGCTGACTTGAACAATAATTCTTCTAATTCTGGAATGGGCTTCTTCAACCCAAATGGGATTGCAAATACTGATACAAGTAGCACGAGGCAGAATGGAATAAAGACATTTCTAAGGTATTTTCTCCTACAGTTTGGGCTGTGTTCACTTTTTCACATGTAATGGTATATTTTTATTTGCATGATGCGTTACTTTTCATAAAGCTGCAGGAATGTGAAATTATTTGTGTCACTTATCATTATTTTATATTAAAGGGCACAATGATGAAAGATGTCTCAGTGTTTACCACATCCAGACTCCTTGGAACTACATGTGACACGCAGAAGGGATTAATTTCTTTACTGTCTAATTAAGGCTACTCTGTTCTATAGACTTCATTATATAGGAAGCACTTTTTCTGCCATCTTAATTGGCAGTGGTGCACAAAGGATAATCATGATAGGCAGATTGATTTGTATTTCATCATTTGGGTGTAAAGTATAACTAGTGAATTTTAAAGTCTTATAAATTGGTTATTAATATGCTTAAACATCATCAGAACATTTCATATCTTAACCACGACAGTAAAGTGTGTTGCTTGTTGTACAAAAGGACTGTTGCTAATCAGAGAACTAAAATCATAGAAGAACACGTAATAGATTTAAAAAGTTTTTTTTTTTTTTTCCTTCCTCTCAGAACGCCACGTTTTATTGCCCTCCATAGCAAGAGTGGAAAAGTGGGTTCAACTATCTGGTATTTGGCAAGAGGAAAGATAGTACAGAGTTAAAAGGGAAATTTTAGGATAATTGGTGTTTCTTATTCATGATAGTTTTTTCCTGGAGTTTCTGTTATGACTGTGAGAGCCAAGGACAAGGACACCTCCTTGGGTATAACACCTATTTCTGATTTTAGCTCCTCTGAACGCAGGGGTGTGTGGCTGGTGGCCCCCCTAATTGCCAGGCTGCCGACCTCTGTGCAAGGAAGGGTACTAAAAGCTGCTGGAGAGGAGCTGGAGAAGGGACAGCACTTGGGCTCCTCTTCAAAAAAGGAAAGAGACAGACAAAAACAGAAAAGGTATGGCTGCAAGGTGTGTCTCTTTGGAAGGGCTTAAGGAATGATTGAGAACAAGTGGCATCTTGCAGACATACATGGTCAGTGTACCCAGAGTGCACTGAAATTATGTTTTTAAATGGAAATGAAAATAATCTGTTAGGTAAAGCTCGGATCCTAAGAAGTTCCAGGTTAAACATATTTAGTACACCAGTTCGTTCTGCCTGTGTACCCACATCACTGCTGAGCCATTAAAAATACCAGCTTCTTAGCCTCACCTAAGACCTGTTGAATCAGATCTGGATATCCATTTAGTCCCTATATTCTACATTTAATTACTTTTCATTGTTTTAATTATTTATGTTCACAGTACATAGAATTATTTATCATTCTGTCCTGTTGGGCCCTAAGATAGTAATATTTTTAACATTTAGGGCTCTTGTTCTAGACTAAATACTAAAATTTATAAACCACTAAGTTTAATCTTTACTTCATTTATTTTAGGCCCCAGAAATAATAAAATTTGCAAACTGACTCTGTTACTGAGAAAGAACAGAGCTGTGCTCTGTGCTCTAATGTGAAAATATGAATTTAGCACCTCAGGAGTAAAGGGGAATGATGAAGATTTCTTCCATTTAAAGAAGAAAAAACAAAAAACTCTGAACATGTATAGTTCTTATCCCCTAATTAATATTTTAGTAGCTACCATTTATTGAGCCCTTATGAAATGCCATTGTATAAAACTCATCACATATGTACATGAACTTTTAAATTATTATGGCAATCATATGTGGTGGGTGCTCTCGTTACACCTTTCTTAAGATGAAGGAAGGGAGGCATGAAAAGTTAATTTCACAAGGACGCACAGCTAAGGAGTTGTAAGACTTGAGTTTAAACCCAGGTTGTCTGGCTTTTGAGACCCTGCTCTTTAACTGAAGTGCATTTTTGTAGAGACCTCTTTTACATGTATTTTGTTTGTTACCTGTTGTTTTGGGTGTTACCTTTGCGAGGGTCAGTCAGCCAACGCGATGACTCAGTTTTAATTCTGGAAGTTAATTTGCTGATGGATGGTTGCATGTACATTGCCTCCCTTCCCACTGTGGGGGACACAGATGGTATTGCAAAGTTTAAAGATGACCCTTCCCAAGTCAGTATCTCTCAGCTCTGCTGGTAGAGGATGAAGCACATTGAAATCTTTGGGTTTCGATCTCCTTTTAAGAACTTTTTTTCCACCATAGCACTTAGTTTGTCAATATGATTTGTTAGTTCTCCAATAACTGAAGAAATATTAATAAAATGACAACTTAAAATCGATTTTTTTAACTCAAATGCCTTAACACCTCTTATGATGAGGCTATGGGATATGGTGGGTCACTAACAAGCTCACTGCTTTTGGATCCTCAGACCTAGGTGCTGATCTTATTTCTCTCAATACCCGCCCTGTTTGGTCTTAAGAAATGTGCTAAAAAATAACATAAGCACAACAATCATATAGGCCTGTTTCCTTGACTCTAAGATAATAGTTTTGTGTGACAAATTTTTAAATTTTTCATTTTCTTCTGTGTATAAAATATTCCTGCTGGTGTGCATCTTCAATTCAGCTTACTGATACAAAATAGAAATTCTCTTCTCACTGCACTCCCCCAACATGCTCTTGCAATATGAATTTATGCTAGTTTGGGAATGCCTTCAAGGGCAAGAGAGCATATTAAATTATTTAGAATCATCACAGTGGCTTTTAATCTTTTTAATAGAGCTATGATTTAACTTTTTAAGTAGGCTTTGGCTATTTACTACTCCCTTTCCTTTTCTAGTAGTAAAATAAATAAAAGCCAATAACCCAAAGACAAGAGATCTATGTTGCACAGGAAGTAATCTGTCCTTTCTAACTAGATCTGCTCTTACTACTTCCTTTGTAGTATGTCTCTTTTGAGTCAACAACCTTTCCTCTCACTGGTCCTTACCTGCCTTAAGGGACAAGATGAACAACGGGAAGGCCTCCTAACATCTCTTCAGAATCAAGTTAATCAGGTAAAGTATAGTAGAATATTAAGCCAGGCAAGTATTTTTCTAATGATATTAATTTGTTTTCCTTTCAAATACTGAGATTAAACTAGTAAGACGACAACATATTTTGATTAGCTGCAAGGAAACACAATCCATGTCCTATTTTCCTACCTGGCATTCTAGGCACCACAAGATTCACAGTTTTTTAACAGTAATTATGCATTGTGCCCTATAAAAATAATATTTTGTACATTGTGTACAACTTTGACATATCTGCTCCTCTCCTGATCCTGCGTCGTGGGAGAGGTCCTTGAGCAATGTGTGTTGCAGGCATGGTGCTAAGACAGAGGAACCTCTCTCCAGCTTCTCCAGCTCCCCCCCCAGCTATCTGGAGGGTCTCAGCTTGAGCTCTCTTTGTTCAGAAACTCAGTTTTATTTTCTTTCTTTCCTTTTTTTTTTTTTTTTTTTTTGATTTTTTTTTTTTATTTGTCAGAGAGAGTGAGAGAGTGGCAGGCAGAGGGAGAAGCAGGCTCCTAGCTGAGCAAGGAGCCCAATGTGGGACTCAGTCCCAGGCCCCTGAGATCACGACCTGAGCCGAAGGCAGATGCTTAACTGACTGAGCCACCCAGGCGTCCCTCAGTTTTATTTTCCTGCCAGAGCCAGACCAATACCAGTTGAGTGTAAAGTACTAATTTCAAAATCAGAAGGTATATTGATTTGTGTACAAAGAAGTAGAAATTTAGCTTTCCACCACCCACAGTTCTCCTGGTCACTCTTTGGGGCATTTGCATTCTGTGTACTTCAAGGAAGCCGCGTGATGAAACTAGAAATTGGAAAGTGTGGAATTGAGCAAAGTAGGTAGATTGGTCATGTGGGATGTTTTATCCGCTTACAGAGCGAAATGGAACCCTCCTGTGGTCCTCCGTTTCTATGACATCATGTCTTTCTTGCAGATGGTACTACATGAATGTGAACAAGGATACTTGACTCATTTGGTCCTCTCGTCATCTCCCGCTTTTTAGATATGAGAGATCTATCCTTTGCACAACAGCCAAAGTGATCCTTCTAAAATGTAAATCACCTGTTACTTTGGCACCCAAAGTACTCCAATGTTTCTCACTATACCTAGAATAAAAATTCAAAGTCTGGGCTTATAGAGGCCTACATGATTTGGCACTGGCTCCCACTTCTGCCTTGTTTCCTACCAGTCATGCCTTGCTCACTCCACTCTTCACACTGACCCCACTGCTGTCCTTTTTTTTTTTTATATTATTTTAGAGAGCAATCGAGCATGGTTGGGGGGAAGGGCAGAGGGATGGAGAGAGGGAGAGAAGCGGACTCCTCACTGAGCACAGAGCCCAAGGCGGGACTCTATCCCATGACCCTGAGATCATGATCTGAGCCGAAAGCAAGAGACAGATGTTAAATTGACTGTTAAAAGCCGCCCAGGTGCTCCGCTATCCTTTGAACTTAGCAAGCAGGTGCTCGTTGCAGCACCTTTGCATCTTTTTTTCCCTTTACATGGAAGGCTTTCCTCCCAGATAATAGCAGGGTTGTTCCCTCATTTCATCAGATCTGTGCTCAGGTGTCACCTCCTCATGGAGGCCCTCCCTGATCACTTTCCAAAAATAGGACCACAGTCATTTTGTATCCCCTTGACCTAGTTCATGCAACCTGTTACATTTGACTTATTTTTATTTGTCCTGTTGCTAGAATGAGAGCTCTCATACAGTTTTGTGTTTACTGTCTTGGACCCTTAAGTCAGACTTGGGAGAGGACTCTATATTGATGAGATTGGAGAAATGCTCTCCTCTCATCATGCCATATACTTACAGTTCATCTGTTGGGCAGGGGTACTTCCCCATGTGACTCATTTTAACTCATAAGATGATTCTCAGTAGTTACCATATTTCAGAGCGTGGCAGTAGGGGGAGGGACTTTGCCCTTGCCATCTGATTCTAGGGTGTTGCCCACTTGCGGTTTGCTTTTCCTAAGCAAACCTTCCCTTTTCTAACATTAGTCTGAATCAATGAAAGTACTCACTTTGTAGAACAATACGCCACTTGACTGATGTGAAAATTGTCATATGTTTCAAAATAGTATATACATTCTTTATCAATGAAGACAGAAGTGTAAGATAGCAAGACTCCCCCTTCAATAAAACATCAAAATAGTACATTTGCTAGGGTTCATAGGTCCCTAGAAATGTAACACAGAACTGATATAAAATATAATTCTGTCTATTCAATATTTATCTTAATAAGACCAGTGAAATAACATATTTAAAAAATAATCTTTTTTGTTTGTTAATCTTTAACTTCATCTTCCTTTAAAGCATTTTCTAAGACTTATTAACAGGATTGTAAGTAGATAAGAGTTTTCTTCTTCCACCTAGAAAGGCAATGAGCAAGAAATAGATTTCTGCCTGCGTGGAAGAAGGAGGAAAGCTAAAATTTTATTTTGCTTTGTTTATTAATTCGTTAAGAGTTATTTTTGACTGTCGGTAAGAAGCTCACTATAACTTTAAATATAAGAAAAAATCCATTTTAATAGGGAAAATAAGTTTTGGGTTCTTCCATTTATTTGCTGATTTAGATTTTAAGTAATTGGAGAGAAGAACGATACCAAGATGACATGAAAGCGCGGCAGATGATGCACGAAGCATTGCAACTTCGCCTAAATTTGGTAAGGGGCATTTCTAGTGTTTTCCCTCCATTACACTTATCTAAATGGGAAAATAACTCTAGCATTCCACTCCTTCGATGGTCATACTCTTCATTACAAGGTGTGAGGCCTTTCACTGTGTGCTCTAGCAACTTCCCTTTCACGTGTCTGTCCTTCTTGCTGCTGACCTTCCTGTCTGGTCTGACTTCTAGAGGGCATAGATATTTTGGACATTGGTGTTCTGCACCTCCTGCCCCAGGGAATCTCTCCTTCTTTTCAGTTTGTGCTAAGAGTAGGTCTGAGAAGATTATTGCTTTAACATGAATCAGCTTTGATTATACTCACTTAAAGACCCATATAAAAATGTGCCGTAAGTCGAACTTTTGTCAAACTTTCCATCGTATTGATCAAAAAAACAAATTCGACAGGAACGCTATCCAGACATTTAAAATTTCTCACACATTGCACATTTCTTTGAAGTTTTCTTTTCCTATTGGACAAGCCTCAGCGAGGGCTACTCTGGAGAAGGGCTTGCCTGATATTTGGCCGTTGCTTTTATTTTTTATTTTTTTATTTTTTTAAAAATATGTATTTATTTGACAGAGAGAGACACAGTGAGAGAGGGAACACAAGCAAGGGGAGTGGGAGAAGGAGAAGCAGGCTTCCCGCTGAGCAGGGAGCCCGATGGCGGGGCTCGATCCCAGGACCCTGGGATCATGACCCGAGCCAAAGGCAGACGCTTAATGACTGAGCCACCCAGGCGCCCCTGGCAGTTGCTTTTAACTTAATTCCCACACGTGAATGAGTAGACTTGGGGGCCGGGCCTCCTGCTCCTCATTCTTCTGTGTTACTGGATATTTCCAAGTGTTAGTATGACAGTAGGCTTACATGCAATAGTAATTGAACACCACAAAGTTGTAAATAATCAACTTACCTGATTTTTGACCTATTCAGATTGGACTAAAGTTATATTGTAAAACTGGGTATTATGAAAGATTAGGAACAAAAGAAAGTTAATTTTCCTATTATTTAATTCATATTGATGTGCCCACACTCAGGTTCCCCTGCTCCTTCTGCCCCACCCCCCGTTTTTTTTTTGAATGACCAAATTCCCGTGCTGAAGGAACCAAAAACAGTGATAAATAGGTAGCTAGGTAAAAGAGAAGATATGATTACCTATAAAATAGAGTCTTGTTACTGTTTGTTTTTTTTTTTAATGAATCAAAATTCCTACATGAAGTGTTGGGATGGTATTTTCTTTGTAATAAAGTTTTATTGTATTTTTTTTTCATGCCAGGTGGGTGGAATGTTTGACACTGTCCAGAGGAGCACCCAGTGGACGACAGACTGGGCCCTCCTCCTACTCCAGATCATTACCTCTGGAACTGTTGACATGCACACTAACAAGTATGTTCTTACTTCACACGTAGTATGCTGTACATGTGCATGGTAGAAGCTTTGATATGCTGACTACAAACTGTGTCACATCTTATTCTCTTAGTTACCATGAAAAGTTCTGTGCCTTAAATAAAAATGCTATTAGTTAAGAATATCTTGGTTTTGCTTTAAGGTGAAAATAATTATTTTTTCCCCCCTTAGTGAATTATTCACAACAGTTCTTGACATGCTGGGTGTTTTAATCAATGGAACCTTAGCCTCAGACCTATCAAATGCATCCCCAGGGGGATCTGAAGAGAACAAACGTGCATACATGAATTTGGTAAAGAAACTGAAAGTAAGTTTGTGACCTGTTTATATATCATGATCTCAGATAGTTTATGCATTAGTTATTTACTGCATTTTATCTTAATTTACTGGGTTAAGTTAGATGTTATGTGGTTATTTTGCTATTTGCTTTACCTCAGCTTACTAGTACTCAAAAGTTATAAGCATATAGCTTGAAGATATTTCTTAAAAAAATTATATTCACAAAATATTTAACTTTTTAAGGAACTTTGGAAATTTACTGTCAAATGTGTAACAAAAATGCCCACATTGGATTTAGGATAAACCATGCTTAGACTGGCACCTATAATTGAAAAATAATCATTTGCATTGATATTTCTAAACCCAATTCATTTGACTAACCAGTAATGCAATCTTTGAAATAAACGGTAAACAAATGGTGCAGAAAAGAAAAAAGATCAATATATCTAACGACCTTATCAATAAAATAACCAACATTACCTTGAGGTTTGACCCTGGATTTGAGAATGTGTTCTGTGCTGCAGCTTCTGCCTTCTGCTGGCAAATACTACACGGGATTTTTGTCATTTCAGCACTGTGATACTTGTTGTGTAACCAGGGTCCCATTGTATGTGTTCTATTTTCTACTTAAATAGAAGAAATGAAACATACTCACTACTCTAATTGAAAGCTGCATCACAGACCATGTTCAACGTTAAAGAACATTCTGGCTATAAAAAAGGAAATGTTTCAAAGAGAAACTTCCTTCTCACCAACTTTTGCCTTCGTTGTAATTTCTGTCCCACTTCTCTATCTCTTTTTGTTTTGTTTGTTTGTTTGTTTGTTTTTAGAAAGAGCTAGGAGACAAGAGATCAGAAAGTATTGACAAAGTTCGACAGTTGCTACCTTTGCCAAAACAGACATGTGATGTCATCACTTGCGAACCTATGGGTTCCTTGATTGACACTAAGGGAAACAAAATTGCTGGATTCGACTCTATAGATAAAAAACAGGCAAGAGTAAATGTTTGTTTCTTGTATATATTTTCTCATCTTCCTATAGGGTATATGAGACACCTCAATTTTACAGTTTCTTGATTTTTTTAAAGCATAGCCTTGTCATTTAAATGCTTTGGTCATTGGCGTTATTACATAGATAAATTCATTTAAAACTTTATGTGAATTTAAGTGAATTTCTGAAACCCGCTGAAGGAAAACTAAGTAAAAATGTATTGTTAAGGGGCATCTGAGTGGCTCAGTCAGTTAAGCATCTGCCTTCAGCTCAGATCGTGATCCCGGGGTCCTGAGGGCCATGGGATCGAGCCCAGCCCCTGCCTCTGCTCAGTGGGGAGTGTACTTCTTCCTCTCCCTCTGCCCGCCCCCCCAACTCATGTGTGCACATGTACTCTCTCAAATAGATAAATAATATGTTTTTTTAAAAATGTATTGTAAAAATAAAAGAAGGCAAAGACCAGGTCTGATTTTACTTCAGAGTTGACAACAATACGTTTAGATAAGAAAATTTTGATTGATAAAGTCTTCATGTAGTAAGCTATTTTGAGTAAAAAAAATATTTTTAGGGTGATGGTACTTAATTTTCTTCTCTGTTGAACAATACTTCATTGAACACTTGTTTTATATAGGATATTAAGCAAGGTTCCCTTAAATACGAGAAGAGTGATTATTCGTTTAATGAACATTGAGCAACTACAGAGATAAAAGAGCTCTTACCTTAAGCAGAAGTAGACAGACAATCACAGTGTGGTGAGATCTGTGTGTCATGGTACAAAGTGTTAGGGGACCCTGAGAAGGAGCCATCACCCTCAGATAAGGAGTAGGTAGTCAGAATAGGGCCCCCCAGAAAATTCACACTTGAATTATTTTGAAGGATTAAAAGTTAGTTGGGAAATAGGGAAGTGGGTGATACAGGCCAATGGAAGAGTTTTCCTAAAGGTATGAAAGAATGTGGCTCTTAGGAGAAATGCAATGCTACATTAATTCAGAGTAACCTGAGTACTTTTACCAGTGTGATTGTGGAGACAGAAAAAGCTAGTGTTATGGGCAGTTTGAGTGTGCTGGGTCATTGGGCTCTCTAGTGGTGAGACATCTAGAAACCATTTGGATATATGGTCTTTGCACCTAGGAAGAGGCCTAAGCTCAAGACAGTATTAGGACACAGTCAATTTATACATAGTAAATGAGCCTTGATGTTGGATAAATCCATCCATGAAAGAGTTGTGTAGATAAGAACAGGAGCATTCATATCTTATGGAATGCCTGAATAGTTGTTTTGGGGGGTCATTCTGAGGAAAAATATTTTCAAGTTGGTATGCCAGGGAAAGTACCAAGAGACATCACCAGTTAATGTTAAAAATAAGAAACCTTTATTTTCAGAAACAGAGTAACATTTCCTCTTCTAAACCCAGTAGAGATAAGCTTGAATTAAAAGACTTTATTTGTATCTGTTGGTACAAGTTACTTCTGTAGTAATATTCTTTATTCAGAAACTGGCTTATTAAGTACGTGAAAGATTCTTGTACTGAATCAAGCCCACACATGTTTGGATTGAAGTTAATTTGAGCTCAATTAGAAGTTGACTATAACTTGACTCTGAAGTTTTGTTTTATCTCAAAAATAACAAAATTAAAAAAAATGGAATCCAAAGGGTTATAATTTATAACTTAATAAAGTAAGATCAACAGTACTTTGCAGTACTTTTTAGAAAGTGTTTTTTCCTAAAAACAAAACAAAAAAATCCTAAATGCAAAATACCAATTTACAGTAAAATATACTGGACCATCTGGTGTTGCAGCCTGAACAGATTATCATGTGGTCTAAAGAACTGCAGAATTGAACTTAAAGGTCTGAATTCTAGCTGCAGCTCTCCAGTTATCTAGCTGTGAAACCCTGAACCAGCACATTTACCTGTCTGCTGTATGTTAGGGCACTCTAAGCCTCACCACCCCAGCCAGAATGTTCTTTGCATCCATGTCCTAAGCAAGCTTGGCCTCTGAGTCAGGAAAAGATCTGAACGTGAGGTCATAGAGCATTATCTCAACCACAGGGTCTTCAGGTCTCTACAAAGCAGAAGGTGTCCCCATGGGATTTGTTTGAGGGTCAGAAGAACCCAGCTCCTCTGTCCTGGGCCTGGTTCGGGACTGTCCGAGTGGACCGAAAGGTGATCAAGTACGAGGAGCAGCATCACCTGCTGCTGTATCACACACACCCTATGCCCAAGCCCCGAAGTTACTACCTCGAGCCACTGCCCCTGCCTCCCGAGGAGGAAGAGGAAGAGCCCACATCTCCCGTCTCTCAGGAACCAGAGAGGAAATCAGCTGAGCTGTCAGATCAGGGGAAAACCGCAACAGACGAGGAGAAGAAAACAAAGGGAAGGAAGCGCAAGACGAAATCAAGCTCAAGAGTTGATGTGAGTATGAGAAGTCAGGAAGTCTTTGGCTCATTAACACCTGGTGGGAGATTTAATCATGCCCAGAGTCTGTCTCTAGCTACAGGAAAAGCATTAGAAGCCTTATTGTAATAGTTGTAATCCGAATAAAGCTCCGTCTTAATTAATAGAACGGCACATGAACAGTAACTTGTCACAAACAACAGGATTATAGCTTCTGATTTTTCCTTCTCTCCTGTTCATTAATTTTAGGCTTCTCTTGTGAATAATCTTTAATTAATATTTCAGTGCCTCATAATTTCTCACATTTAAAACTTGAATTTCTTAGATCCCTAAAATCTCATCTTCTTGCATATTTTTATTACCTCATGTCTAAAATATTTATCATCTTTTGAGCAATTGACACCTGTAGTAAATTAATGTGAAAAACTGTTTGCATTTCCTAGCTAGCATGCCATTGAATACATCCAGTAGGATGTTTCTGAGATTTCATATTTTACCATTCTATCTTATTTTCCTGTATATTTTACTTATTTAACATACTTTTAGACTATATAGAAGACAAACACAATTTTAAAAAGTTTCATTCCTTTTTTCCCTATTAGCCTTCCCTACCTATACCAACATTTTCTTGAAAACAACAGAAATCTATGAGATGGTAACTTGGAAATAACTTTGTAGCATTTATAGAATTAATGTTTAAGAATATCTTTACATTTAAATTCACCTGGAAAATACTTGAGAGAGAATTCGAAACAGTTTTGTATAGAGTTCAAGGGTATTCTTGTACAATGGAAGAAATATTCACGATTGAGTGGTCAGATGTCTTATCTTATTATTATTATTTACCTATGTCAGAACCAAAACATATCTTTTCCTGGCTGATAGCTTGGTGATTAATATTCTTCTAGAGAAGATCACCATCACTTTTGGATGCCACTTGAATGGTAGTGCCCTCTTTTCATATGGTCTTCCTACCGATCTTCCTTTGTCTTGAAGAGGTCGAGACTGTAACTCCCTAAAATCTGGACCCTCCTGGCCTGTCAAGTCCACATGGATAGGTTTCTGTTTTTTTTTCAGATACAAAAGTCCTAAAACTTCTCTCATTTCCTGAGTGAGTCCTGGTAATGTCCCTTCCTCCCGTACTACTTCTGGAACTGCCCCTACACAGTGGGTTGTATTTCAGGGATCCAAGGTTTTGTTTTTCCTTTATCCTTTAGGGCTAGACTAAGAGAAGGGGGGTGGAGGATGGCAGGGGAATTGAGACATCTGGGTGTGAGCCTTAAAGACTTTGCATCTCTTCTAAGGAAGACCAAGCCTGGTGGGGGGAGCAGGGTGCAGGCAGATGGTGGAGAGTCTGTGTCTTTAGGTTGCTGCCTTGAAAACTGGAAATAAGACACTGTTTCGGCCAGGGATTGGTTCTGAAGTATATTGGGTCTTTCTGGCCTCATTCTTATCCAGACCCAACATATCAGGAAGTCTTCCTAAGGTGACCTAAGATGAAATAATCTCCAGAGACTTAGCATCTGAAGATGCACTTTCAGTTGTAGGTGGTGGTCAGTGTTGATGTACTTCTAGTATTTTAAAAAACAAACTTCAGAGTGATCCCTTTACATCTTCCCTTCACTTCTTAAGTCAAGTACTTCTTAAGTCAAAAGTTTTCACTCAAATGAGTGTTTTGCAGAGAACATGCTGACACTCTTGCCTTCCATCTTCCCCTCTATAAAAACAACCGTGTCCACTGGGATAGGAGCTGGCTCAAGTCATGCGATAAGAATTTGCATTCATCATTTATATAGTTTATGGAGTTAAATAACTTTTTTTTTTTTAAACTTTATGTTGAAGGAGTATCCACAGAGCAACATATACCGAGTGCCTCCTAACTACTCACCCATTTCCTCCCAGATGTTGCACCATCCACAGTCCACCTTGTGGGGCTACAACCTCCTGGGTCAGCCCCAGCAGCCGGGTTTTTTCCTCCAGAACCAATCTCTTACTCCAGGTATGTGAAGACAGAGTACGGTCGGGTCACTCTGAGATGTGAAGTAGCTTGGGGTTTTCTTTATTTTTAACCTGAAATCTTCACAAAACGTGGAAACTGCAAGAACCGAGTACTCAGTTGACATTTCTGTAATCCTTTCCATTTGAAATGTTTTTTCTTCTAAAATATGGGTCTTTTTTTTAAATGAGTCTTTTAATCTATTGTTGATTGTCACATACGTGAATGTATTCTAATTGTATGAATCAAATAATACCTGAGCATATAGAGTAATTTAATGTGTGACCAATTCTGGAGTATTTCTCAAGTGTTAAAATACAGTTTTAATTGCTAGGTTATGTTCTGAGTTGGGAGTTTTCATTCAGTATTAGAAGGAAATTAAATATATAAAATTGATAAAAGTTGTATGTTGTGAAATTTGTGTTTTTATCAGATATAATTCTTATCTGTGTTTTTAAAAATTAGACAGTATTGCACAGTATCTTTATTTTCTTATGTTTTGAATTATAAATTGTTGATACTGAGAAGTATCTAAGAAATTTGGTTCAGCAGGTAGATTGAGATATCAAAGAAGGAAAACTACCGAATCTACAGTAAATATTCCTGATTTTAATATGGCTTTCATTCAAGCCCAAGTAGTCTTTATATCTGAAATGAACGTTCCCTAAATAAAAAAATCTCTTACTTAGAAATGAATTTAATTTTTTTTCTAAATGAAAGTTTGCTTGTTCAACAAAATAGTGTATTTTGAGATCTTAGTCTGCATGTTGTGATTTTTATTGTAATTCGAGAATGACATTTTGAGGCCTAGGAAAAGACATTGTTTGATTCTTGGCTTACAGCAGGCGAGAATCCCTATTTTGTCCTCTAAATTAGAGGTTGAGAGGGCTGGCCTAGAAGTTACAGTTCTAGGTTCAGGTCTAGCTCAACCACTCTCCTGCTGTGTAATCTTGACCAGTTCTTAATTTCTCTGTTCCTCAGTTTGGTTATCTGTAAAAGAGATATTTTAATATATGCCCTCAGAGAGTAGGTGATTCAATTATTTGTTCAACAAAATGTATTGAACTTCATAATGTTCCAGACTCTGTTTTGGGTGATAGGATATTGCAGTATACAAAATGAGTAAAAATGTTCATTCTTCTTTGAATGATGAAATAAGGGTTATATTATACATGAACACACATACACACAACTGTGTGTATGTGTGTGTAACTTAAATTTCGAAAATGTAGCACATAGAAGATGGCCTAACCCAGCAGACATGTTCAGCAAATGATCTTAACATATTCCCACCTCAGGGCTTTTGTACCTGCTGGCCCCCATGCCTGGAGTGCTCACCATTAGATATTTTACATGGCTCACTGCCTCCCTCCTTTGGGCTTGGTCAGATACCATTTTCTCAGTGGGCTTCTACTGACCACCCTCTTTTATAAATGGTAAGCTACACCCCTTCCGTGCACCTTATTCCCCTCTCCTTTCTGTTTCTCCATAGATGAGCACGTGGTTATATGCTATATATTTAACTTGTTTATTATCGGGCTTTCCCGCAATATAAGCTCTGTTGGGGCAGGTATGTTTTCTGTTTCCTTCACTGTAGTGTCCTCAGAACTTAAAGCAACCTTGGGCTTTTAATAAGCTCTTAAAAATAGGTTGTTGAATGAATGAATGTAGACTATAAAGAGTAAACTAGACAATGGTAAATGTGGAAAATGATACATATTTTCTCATTTGACTTTTCTCTTTTCAGTTCCAAAGTGCTTGTGAATTTTTTAGCCTTTTTAAACACTAATTCAGTATGAGTTGAAGGCTAAGTATTTTATAAAGACCTATACTTTCTTTCCCTAGAATACTATAAAAGGTGTTTATAAGTTAAGGAAATTTAGATATTAGGTAAGTTTTAAGTATGATGACATGTAAGAAAAATGTTAAAGAAAAGAAGCATTTATAGGGATTTCATATGTGTAAATTGGTTTTTGTAAAAATATGAATCCTATGAAGTTGAAGAGTGCGTACAGTATGCTTTCAGTCATATGTAGTTAAAATGCAAAGCAGTATGCCCCCTCAAAACAGATGTGTGTACACACAAACACACCCACCCGTCTACAATTTCTCTCTCTTTCTCATGTATACACACCAGTATGGTAAAGTTATAAGGAAATGTTTGGGAATATTAAACACCATATTCAGAATAGCATTTGGTGAGAAAAGGTGAGGAAAGTAATTAGGAATGTGCAGAGGGCTTCAGGGATACTTACTATATTTCTTTAGTTGGCTCAAAGGTACAAGATTATAAAAAAGTTAGGAAAATTAAAAGAAAATGGACAATGGCCTAATCCTTAGAAAGAATCTCCTTTATCTATAAAATGAGTCCAAGTTTTTATGTATTAGTACAGTTCCAGTTCTTGCTTCAACAAAAGTTACCTTGCCATATATTACTTAAATTGACTTTCCTCTTTTTTCCCTAATGTTCTTCAAATGCTGCTGATTTCATAAATCACATTGCTGGTGTGGTTCTGAGTCTTTAAAAGAGTGTGGGTTTTCAGCTTTAAAATGTTTGTTCCCACCGTACAACTTACTTTAAAAAAACATAAAACATCTTTTGTGAGATAATTATATTTATATAGAGGATTTCTTACACATATATTAAAGAATATAAACTATCTGGTAAATGAGTGATTGACACCTCATTTGAAGCCAGCAAATGTTGAAATTTTTTTCCCCAAACTCTTAAAGGCATTTGACAAATTATATATGCAAGTATGTTAAGGATTGCCTTTGGTTTCTCAGGCATCACTATAATCAACGTCTCCTGTTTGATTTCAAGCCTTCAAAAAGCTGTGTTTTGTCTTTTGAGTCATGGTATTTGAAGTTTCCAAGCCTTTCAAGTTTTGAAAGTGTTTTCATGCCAGTCTACGACGAAAGAGGCATTTTTATTTTGCCATGGTAAAGAAACTTAAATACCATGAGCTTCAAATTTGTTTAAAATGACAAAAGAGTTTCTATGACTGGCTTAGGACACTTGGCAAAAATATACCATGAAGGCAGTACACTTTATGCCGGTAATGTATTCCCCAGGGCCTTGCATAATTTAAAACCCACGTGATTCGAAGTCATGCCTGCGAATCCGTTTCAGGCATTTCAGTTGATCAGCCAAAGTGGGGCCTCCATGAAATCATTGAAATACTGTAATTCACGCTTACATCACCGTCCCCATCCTTTGGAAATTATGCAGTTCCCAACATACCTGTAATTTTTGTATGGTGTGTGGCGGGGCCTTATTTTCCATTCGCTCATAAAGTGAGGCTTAGAAGGTAAGGTTACCATGTTTTGATAAAATAAGGAAGACCTGTGGCATTAACACACATAGAGAGCCCTTCTTTCTGGTTGCTTTTGTAGGTGGCTCCAGACTGGACCCCACGGGCTCCTACGTCCCCACCAACACCAAGCAAGCTCTGTCCAATATGCTGCAGCGGCGCTCAGGCGCAATGATGCAGCCACCTCCGCTGCACGCCATCACCTCGCAGCAGCAGTTAATACAGATGAAGCTTCTGCAGCAGCAGCAGCAGCAGCGGCTTCTCAGGCAAGCCCAGGCTCGACCTTTCCAGCAGGTTTGTCCAGATCCAGCAGTGGAGCCCTCTGCCTTTTGTTAGCGCCTCTAGCTAGGCATGAGTGTGGGGTATGGGGCGTATTCTTCCTGCCTGTGTATCCCTGAAATCTCGTGTGAATGCAGATATAGCTCTCCTACAGGTTTATACCTCTCGTGTATTTTACTGTTATCATTGATCAAATAGGAACTTGAAGTATCTTAGGTTCATGAAAAGTACGCCTTAAAGCAAGAAAAGCTAATGACTCTCCAGTCCCCGAGAAGCAGTTTTTTTTCATTCCTGGAGTGACCCTGAGGACTCATTCCCTGTAATTATCATCATATTCTGTACTCCTTTTAGCTCCTACTTTTGTTTGTTATTATTAGATTGATCACTCTGAGGTTGTATCTCTAAAGTCCTGATGTTTCTTAGGTTTTTCCCTACAGTACCTTGCATAGACTATTTTCAGTATGTGTTTAATAAGGTCTATAGGAAAGAATATATTACAAATCATAGTTTATGGATACCTTCAATTTCATTCTTGATTTATATCATTGCTATTTTTATGCCCTCTAACTCAGTTTTATTTAACTTTTGAGATGACAGTGATTGTTCAACAAAACAGTGGTGGGAATCCTACACAGATTACTATAGGCTCATGAAGCCCACAGATCTGTACAAATAAATAAAATAGAAAAAGAGGAGGTGAGATTGGGACCCCCCTCCCCCGCCATTTCTATATACTTTTTGTACTTTCCAATTTTTCCAAAAAATGCACTATTTTAATGAGGATGAGGAGGATAATAGTAGCAGCTAACACTTAATAGAGCACTTACTATTTGCCAAAACATTTCTAAGCACTTTAAATGTATTATCTAAGATCCCACACAGCCCTGGGATTTAGGTACTTTTTTGAACCTCAAAGGAAGTAAACAATCCACAGGTGTATCCTGCTCTAAGAAAAACCATAAAACTTTGAAATTAGCAAGAAATCCTAATGCTTTAAAAAATATCCTTTATATTTTGTGTAACTTTCTAGGCATATCTCCATTGTGTAACTTATGGCACTTTTGCATTCAGTCCACTTAGTGATTTGGGGGGCTGGAGGTGGGATGGTTAATTGTACATTCTTTAAAATGGTTGTTTTTACCTGTATTATAAGAAGGACAGGAGAAAGGAAATAGGCCAACTGTATGGGAATGCAACCAACAGTCACTGCATGCTTGTCTCTCCCTGACCTCTATCATAATTGCTCAAACTCCCTGGGTGTCAGGTAAGATGGGCCTAAGTTGCTTCTTACACAGAAATGATGAGGATTTGCTTAAAATACTAAGAAATACTTATTTTGCTTAAATAAGCAGCATGTTTGGAGCCATCTAAAAACCTTGGGATTTTAGCTATTCTAGAGGATGAGCAAAAATAGTTATTACCTTTGTTTCAGATCTTGTCAAGGTTAAAAAAAACTTGCTGTAAGTTGAGTAACCATCCCACCAGGATGAATTCAATTCCCTTTTAAAGTAATTTAGGCCTAAGTAAAAATTTACCTTCCACTAAGGTTAGTTTTTCATATCTACCTTTTTATCACAAGGTATAATTTGTCTTACTAATAGCTCACTTTCAGACTGTTACTGCTAAGTTTAGTTTTGAATTGCTCTAAGTGATTCCTAGCATCGGGGAAAACTCGCTGGCCCATTTATAGTTAAACATGCTTTTCCTCAAAAGCTTCACTTCTGATACAAGTCATGACAAGCAATTTCCTCTAAAGCACGTTTTTTTTTTTAAAGGAATTGAATAGAATAACCTACATATAATCAAAGATTCTTGCATATTTGCCGAAGGCAAGCTTATGAAATAGAATGTACCTGCAGGAACCCATTACTTCTACATTTTTCCTCAAAACACTCAAAAGTACCTGACTATTCTTTTACACCACGTAGAGTTGTATTGCTTGTACTAATAAGAGTTAACGTATAGTTTGTTTTTTTTTCTGATTCTTTTTGCCAACTCTGTTTCTTTCCTTTTCCTTTTCTTCTCATTATTTTTGTCCTACCTTCCCCCCCTTTTTTTTTCTTTTTGAGAAGTCAGGAATTCCTTCAGGCAGTAAAAATACAACTTCATAACAGTGATTGTACAATATTTACCTTCCCCTACCCCCAAATTTTTTTAACAGTTGGTTGAAACTTGCTTTACTATCTCTAATGGGCTTTCAGAAGCAGACATTTTTTTTTCTTTCACCATTCTTCAAGTGTTGGATACTTGAGGGAAAATAATATTCTTCCAAGGAAGTGCAATACACCCATGGTGCCGTAAGAGGGTTCAGTGGTCCCACCTAGAGTCAGTGAGGTCACATGTAGCATTTGCCAGAGTGCCTGCACCTAGGAGTTCTGGGGGAAATGTTAACTCCTTTCCTCTCATGTACAAACGGTTAATATACCTTATAAATATACCTGCCACAACACCTTATAAATAAGGTTGTGGCAGGAAAAAATTCTCCTTGTGGTAATCCTTAAACTGGAATAAAGGCAGCATTATATGGAATATAAGCAATATTGATAAGTTGTTTTAATACATGGTTGTGGATGTGGTTGTTTTTCTACTAAGTTCTGACCTATATCCTTCATGATAAGAAATGATAGAGAAATGTTGATTCTAATTTTGGCCAGGACCATTTTCTCAGGTCACATGCCTGCATGTAATGTGATTCTCTCTAGCTATGTAAGAACTTGTCATGTCATTTTTTCTTATGAAATAGAATTCATTTTTCTTCTTATCCTAGCAATTTTCTAATTATAGGAATCCATTTTCTTAAATGTAGCAAATGTGTTAGAGAATTTTCATTGATCTTAACCTTCAAAACTGATTTTTGGAATTTTAGCAGATGCTTATTTTAAAGACTGATGAGTTTTTCTAAGCGTTGGATGTGACTGCTCCCTAGGCCAGTTGCCCAATAACCACCCCATGGTAGCCCCTCATCTGATAAGGTCAGACACTGGGTCTTATACCCTGTATTATCTTTACATCTAGTGAGCAGAGGGTAGGAATTTATGAAAGGTTTATCAAATGAATGCATGTTTTGAGAAACTATTTCCAGGAGCCTAGAGCTTCCTAGTAGCCTTAATCCTTAGCAGTCTGATTTTTATCTACAAACTCATCTTAGCCGTCCTGAGTGCTTCCAGAAACTTATTCCAGAAGTGACTTCTGTGGTTCTTTTGAAAACCTAGATGGGGCAGGGAGGACATAAATTCCTGGATTCTGGATATGTCTCAGACCGTACAGAAGAATCCCCTTAGCCTCTTCCCACCTTAATGCAAAGAAGCTGATATACCTAGGAATCATCTAGCCTTAGATGGTGCACAATGAAAACTACAATATCATTATAAAATAACTCTGTGTCCACTGCAGAAACTGAACATCTGCTTCAGTTGGTCATGGAATTTTCTGTTATGGACCATTCTTGTATTTCCTAAAGAATGTATTAAGACATTGGTGTAGTGTCTAGAAAACAGATGCTAAATAGCATGGGCATTGTTAAGTATTTTTAATCAAATTGTTTGATGCAATGGTTATAATTGAGTGTACTTTCTTACGGCTCTAGTACATACCGGTATGCATAAGGATGTTTTGGCAAGGAAACTTGTTTTCATTCTTTTTAGTTAGACTCTTTATCCAGGAAAGTAAAAATGATCACTCTCCATTCCTTACTCAGTGTCTCTTATTTAAAGGGGACTCAATGTAGTGAATATGTCCCCTTTCTGTGCCACAAAGCCTCATCTATAAAATGGACCTAATGCAATATTTACTTTATAGAGTTCTTGTGAAATTAATGTTTTAATATACATCACAGCCCTTACAACAGTGGCTGGCTCATAGTAAGTGCTCAAAAAATGTTAGCTGTCATACTTGTTAATGTTTTATTAGTATCATGAATGTATTATTTCAAAGGAAATCTCTATCCCATAAAAATGATTTTTATTAAATATGTTAAGAATTAAAAGAGAATAAAAACACTTCAAATGCTTTACTTCTGTCATTATATTAATTGTCCCTAATAAGACTGGTGCTCAGCGGCTGCCCATAGAAGAAGCCAGGAAGAAGGAATGTTGTTTAGTTTTCCTAATAGTACCATTTTAGTTTCTTAAAGCAGCGTATTTTGACTGTCTAAATTCTGTAATACAAACTTGAGAGGGGCTGATTCCAATTTCAGTGTTAAAAATATCGCTGTTATGTTTTCTGCATATCCTATGGAAATCATCACAAAATATAGAATATTAGTGAAAATAATGCAAAATGCTGCTTAAATTGTTTTCCAGTCCTCTTTCTTACATCCAATATTTTTCTTCTGACAGAAGGAACTTCCTTCATCACCCCCCCCCCACTCACCCCCTGCCACACACACCATATCAGTTTTCTAGGGAGGGGGCTTTTGGAGGGAATCTTTAAGTTTTGGTCCATGAAAAGGACTTAATTGTTTGCCTTGTTTTATGGTATAGCTTTATCCTAATTTCCCCCCTTTCAGTGCACAAAATCATTTTGCTGTTCTTTGTAGTAGTCAATGCTAGCCAGTTTATTTTAATAGTCCAAAGAAAGACAATATGTTTAGCTTACATTTGGCTGAGACAAATTTGGAAGAATGCAATTGATTAAAGGCTACAGATAATCATATAGATATTGATGACATTAAAGAGGAAGATTTCTGACAGAGGAGGGAAATGATGTGCCCAGTAATAGCTAGTGGTTACTTGTAAGAATATTAGGTTATTAACCACGGGGCAGGTGCTATCATTGTGTATCTAAATGAAGGAATTAGATAACTTAATGAAAGAACAGTGGCTGAGTCAGAGCCTCCCAAGCTCCCTGGCAAAAGTCAATCTGTAACATCCTGAAAACATGACTCTTGGATTGATGAAACCCATTTAAGCCGAGTGGCTACCCTTTGTCTGGTAATTGATCTCTTACCCTAGGGACAGAGCATCACCTTGGAATATCTGTTTCCCTCTTTTGTTCTCTCCCTCCCTCACTCTCTA